TCACGTGAAAGGGGCGGGGTTAGTAATATTTGACCAATCACAAACAGGGACAAGTGTACTGACAGCGCAGCGTCATACTTCATTAATGAAAAGTAAACTAATATTAGACAAATATGAACTTTAAACATCCATGACTTAACATATAATCCAGGATACAAGCATAGTTGCACCTGCAAGGTGAATATAGAACAACTGGTTAAAAAATAAATAAACTACCGAGTGTTTGAAAGCGTGTACAGTTTTATGATATCACTAAGACACGAGTGGATCTGACTTTAATTACATTTGAGTTGAGTGTTTCGTCAACCTAATGTGTTGCTTAAAATAATACTTCTGCATAGTATGTGACAATGTAAGTGTTGCACGGCCAGATACGGCTCGAGAAGCTGACTCAGATAAGGAAATATATGATATATTATGATATTATATGATCGATGATCTGATTGATGATGTGATATGAATGATAAGTGCGACAAGTCGGCGTCTTCTCTGCATATGGCAGTTGTTCTGTATTTCCTTTATCCTGTAATATGACTTTATAGATTTAAACTCCGCACATTGAGCTCTGATTGGTTAGCAGGCGGTGCTTTCACTGAGTTGATCTCTTTTCTATAGATGCCGGAGGCGGGCAGCGTCAGGTAAAAAAAGTTATTTAGCCTTCCCAAACCTGAGCCTCACGCACCGCCTATGCTGATCTGGGTCCTTCTACCGGCAGATACAGCTAAATGCTGCCGTGATTCAATTCCGTATCATGTTCCAAACCACATCAAGGATTATTTCAGAAACAGTATGGAGCTCAAATGCTTCTTTTCTTTTGCGGGTTTACCACAAGGTGAGTTCCTTTTTTTATTTCCTGTTTTTTTACACATGCTCTCTCCAGTACAGGTTAGCTCTGAGTGTTAGCGATGCTTGTTAATGTAAACTGGTCTTAAAATCCCCACAATGCTTTGCGCACGGACCAATTTCCCCAAATCTGTGGCGGAAGATGTAAGGCGGGGCCTCTCATATGACGCACACCTGCACACTTGTTAGCCTGTTCCACTCTTTGTTTTCCAAATGTCAGGAAGTATTCTTGCCTCGCTTCTGAAGCAAGATGCTCGGCAGACATGTGCTACCAAGCAAGCGTACTCGCGATTGAGAAACACCCCATAATGTGACCTGCTCCATCGAAATCAGGATTGTTTTTGTACTCCAAATATTAAGCGAAATATGTCACATTATATAATGACTGTCACCGAGTCATCATTTTGAGAAAAAGGCCTTTAAAGTTTCCTCTTCTCTGGAATCCATCGATCTGATTGATTATTAGCGGAGCAAATGATCAAAATACTACGGAGGGAAGATATTTTCGTTTGGATTACTGCACTGGGGGAAGCTCGCAAGTGTGTGTGTGTGTATACGTGTGTGTGTGTTTGTGTAATTTTGCGTTTGTGTGTATTGTGTTTATTTTAGGGCTGTCAGTCGATTAAAATATTTAATCGCGATTAATCGCATGATTGTCCATAGTTAATCGCGATTAATCGCAAATTAATCGCACATTTTTTATCTGTTCTAAATGTACCTTAGAGGGATATTTTTCAAGTTTTTAATACTCTTATCAACATATGAGTGGACAACTATGCTTTATATGTTTGTTTATTATCATTTGAACAATGACAAATATTCTCATGAATATTAAACACAACAACCTGAACATTACAAATATTCGCCTCAATTCAACCTAGAACCTCTCTCATACAATACTGTGTGTGTGTGTGTGTGTGTGTGTGTGTGTGTGTGTGTGTGTGTGTGTGTGTGTGTGTGTGTGTGTGTGTGTGTGTGTGTGTGTGTGTGTGTGTGTGTGTGTGTGTGAATGTGGAGGATCGTTGGAGCTATGTGCAGCTCAAGGCATATATGCCTGTGTGTATGAGCTGTGTTGCGCGCACTATCCGTGCTGAGTGTGCTGTCTGGCTACCTGCATAAAGTCAAGTGCTCGGCGCAGTTGTCGGCGAAATGTCACTCCTCTGTTTTCATTGAAACAGCTCCTTATATCCGTTAGCTCAGCTAGCTAGCACCAGATGCTAACAACAACACGTAAGGTGTGCTTCGCTCGCGCCACACATACACACACCCTCCCGGTCCTCCCGATGGCCAGTCCGGGCCTGCCGGTGAGCGTGGAAGTGTGGTCTGCTACAAGCGGGCAGCAGGAGCGGGGCTGTCAGCATCAGCTTGTAGATGGTATTTTAAACTCGATGCGCTCTGAAACTACGGCGGCCGAGGACAAAAAATACACATGCGTTAATCGCGTTAAAATAATTAGTGGCGTTAATTTTTTTTTTGCGTTAACGCGTTATTAACGCGTTAACTTGACAGCCCTAGTTTATTTCCCAGGGAAAACACTCACGAGAAACACCGGCTGTTGTTATGCCTGCTGTGACGTCAAGTTACTCCGTTCTCCGCTTGTAATTATACCGTTACAAGCTTCAAAGTTGTATTTATCATCTGAATTTGCCGAAACAAGTTTAATATTCTGAAAGCCAAGACTTTGTTTAATTGAAATCAGATGAAAACAAACTGTAATTGACCCTCCCGTGTTATCTATGATTACTATACGCCTTACATTCATAATGTCAGCCGGAGGGAGGGGAAGCTGCGCTACGGAAGAGCAGATTGTGAGTGAGAGCTGTCATCTTCCCTTTACAAGCTTCAAAAATGTATTTATCGTGTGATTTTGGAAATAAAAGTTTCATATTCTGAAAGCCAACACTTTGTTTATTTAAAATAAAACAAAACACCCGAACCCCGAAAAACTATTTTTTTACGCAAATCCACGTACCGCACGAAACATGTTTTCGATGGACGAGAGTGAAAATGGAACGCACACGCTATTTGTTGTTTGTTTAGATCACGCAGTCTGTTCTTCTTCTCTGTCTTCCGGTTGTTGCCTCTTTTGAATGACGAATACACACTACCGCCGCCTGCTGGTAAGGAGAGTTATTGCCACTCACGCATGCGCAGTTCGTACGTGCTCGGCTGAAGTCTTTGCGGTGTGTTCCAGTGCGACACATGGCCAAGACGCAGGAGAACACGGCGAAGCAACAGTCGGCGTCGGCGAGTTCTCTGGTGACTGCTTGGTGTGTCAGGGCCTTTACGTCCAAAACAGTCGGCCATTTCTTTCTGATAGCAACATTTCTGATAGGGCCGTGGGTGTAAAGCCAGCCCATATTTCCGATATTACGTCATATCGGACGCAAATCTGGATCAGCTCCGTTGTACCCCCGTTTTTAGAGATTTGGGTACGGAGGAAAAGAGAGAGGGTTTTGTTCACCTGTGCACCTCAGTTTTCCAGTTTCCCCTGGACAAACAGGACATGTGTAAACACAGAACAAGAATAAGATAAAGCTGCCATCTTTTATTGTCCATATCAAATGATTTAAAAGCCAAGGGAACAACACAAATGCAGAAATGCACCAGATCAACTGTATTTCCTGTCTATTCAGGGATGCTTTGGCAATTGTTTTCTCCGACTGCCTCTCTCCCACAAAAATGGACACTGGACCAGACATTGAAATTACACAGCACAAGGTCCAAGATAAATCCAAGACACCAGGAATAACACTGACACACGAAGGACACCAGGGTCACCCTGCAGCAGCACTGAAGTTCTCACTGAATGACAAATGGAGCTGTTTGGGGGCCCTCTGATATATATATACACATTAAGTGATATGTGTGCACACACTTTGGGTTATCTAGACAGTATTTAAGTTGCAATAGGGTTTATAGGACCAAGCTGCAAACTCCAAATACCAACATGAACCGCAGCAGAAGGCACACTTAAACGGTATGGAACAACAGAAAGCTGCATCCAAAGCCGCATGCATAGAGCTGCATCCAACACATGGGGGCTGCTTATATTTATACCCGCTGAAATACATCAAGTGGGGCTTTGTATTGGGCCACGCGTTGGTAAGCCATGGCCGTGCCTGAATCTGGCCAGGAGTTGCTCCGAGATGGTTCTGTATATAGCGACTGACTGCGGTTCTGGTGGATCTCTGCAACACTGTAATCAAGCTCTGTCGCATAATGAGGCTCACTGCTGTTCCATGTCACTCGATTAGTAGCTTGTGGTCAGCTCGGGCTATAGTTTGGGGTTTGTGGGGGTGGCTGATCACATCTGGGGCAAAGAGTGTAGCAACATAACAGCACTGGCAGAACTGGCAAAGTTCATGTTAACAGTCAAACCTCCAACAATCTCTCCCTGATTAAAATCCCATTTACATTTGAAGGGTATTTTTTAGAAATCAGTAACACCACTGGTTTGGAGTTTCATATTTTTGTTCATAAAAGTTTTGTTAACATAGAAAAATTGTTGGTTTGACAGGGAAACAATGGCATTTTTGTTGGAAGAAATATGATCAAAAGTAATTTTTGGATAACCCAAGAGCCAGAGAGAGAAACTGTGTAAATTCAGTAATATAAGTAGCCATTTACATTGGGTTCAAAAGAGTGAATTGGAATTAAAGGTAAATATTTATTAAATATAGAGTGTGTATTTCGATGTGAATCATCGGGAAAGGGAATCCCCTAAATACAATTTTTTTTCCCACAGGTCTTTTCTCATGTTTTCCCTTGTTTTCCCTTGATTTGTCTCTAATTTCATGTAAAGGAAACATGCATACAGTAGATATAGGTTAACACACTGCATATGCTCCGTACGTACAGATGAATGCCAGGAATTTTTGTGGCTGTGTAAGTCTGTGTGCGGGTGAAGGAGTTTTTGGACCAAGTGCCAGGGATGCGTGGGTGTTACGGGAGCTTTTACTTTATGAGAAGTGGAAGCGGAAATGTTGACACTTGACTCCCCAGCCAATCAGAAGGTCATCTCTGGTTTGACAAAAGGAGGTGGACTACAGTATATATTGACCTGGAATTGGGCGAAAGAAACAGAGCAAGCCATCGAAGGAAGGTTGAGAAAAGCAGGCAACCAATAAATCAGCGTGTCTACAGCGTGAAACTAACTTCAAGGCATCATGAAGACTCTGACTCTCCTCTCCATCTGTGCTCTTCTGTCAGTGTGCTGGTCCATGGGAGGTAAGGCTGACTCTCATCATTGCTGTGATTCCTGTTGCTTTTGTGTTATGAAATAATGTAAGCCTTTACAGAGTGTGTATCAAGTGTTATTTCTGTGCTCCACAGCTGTTGAACCTGAGGTTGTCTTGGACCCTGGATACGACACAGCTGTTGAACCTGAGGTTGTCGTGGACCCTGTAGACGACACAGCTGCTGAAGCTGCACCTGCTGACGAAGCTGTTGACCCCACGGCTGCTGCTGCTCCAGACTCTTCCTCCTCCTCCGAGTCTGATTCTTTCTCTGCATCTGACTCCAACTCTAACTCGTCCTCCTCCTCGTCCTCCTCCTCCTCCTCATCTTCTGAATCATCTTCCTCTGAGTCCTCTGAGTCTGACTCCTCAGCATCCAACTCTTCTGCCTCCGATTCTTCTTCTTCTTCTTCTTCCTCCTCATCTTCCTCAGAGTCAGCCAGTACTGAGGGTAAGTTTTTGGAAAGAATCTTTGCATGGTTTAAAATGACTTAAAGTGTGTCTGTATTACAAGGAAATTCAAGAAGGTTTGAGCTTGTAATGTTTGTCCCTACAGCGCCCGAGGTGGTCATGACAAGAGACCTGGCTGCTGTTCTCCTGAGGAGAAGAAGAGCCGCCCCAGCAGGAGACCTCTCCCCTCTGCAGCTCGAGAGGTACAGTTATTTACTCTATGTGGAAATTACTGACTTACTACGCAACAATATACTCTGTACAGGGATTATTTCCCTTTTTTTCCCCTGTTTTATTGTGTTACACTTATGGTGGAGCCTGTGACCTAAGATTTTCATCATCATAACTACACTGTAGCTATGTACGTATGACTGATAAAAGCCTTGAACTTGGAAATGTACTTTAATTAAATTGTCCGGTAGTCAACATAAATCATTTGTGGACACTCCTAACAAAAGTTAAATAATCATTGTAGTTTTTATCTAGTGTAAAAAAAAGCTCTGATTTAAAATAAGGAATCTAAGTACATAAGACATTTTACATAAGTAATAGACATAAGTAAATTTTACAGCACTTTTAATGTTTTTCTCCCCTCTGCCGTACAGTCTGTGGGAGGTGTGTGAGCTGCACGACGGCTGTGACGAGATGGCTGAAACAGCAGGCATCGTCGCCGCATACGTCGCCTACTACGGACCCGTCCCCTTCTAAGATTAAGATTCCTCTTTATCAACATAAGAACTGTTTTTCTCTGTCGTTTTGTAATATAATGATGCAACTTCCCTGAACCAGGACTAGACAATCAAAGAAAAAAAGTGTTTGGCCCATGTAATGATGCTCAACTTTTAGGCATAAATCCTTGCAAATGTGACCAGCTTTTATGGTCCAGTGATGAGGCCTCTTCCAGGCTTCAGAGAGGCACATGGAGACTGAGCCTGTGGAGTAACACTCACAAGATACATTATAATTCATGTATGTTGTATAATGCAACAAATGGTGCTTCCAATGCAGATGTATTGTATGTAAATGTATTGACGTTGTTTTTTCCTGCTTTAGTCTTATTTCAACTAGAAGCAGCAGTTTTGTAAGTAGTAGATGGAGTATTGAAGTAGTGTAGTTTAAGTAGTAGTGTATTGATAGTGGTAGTGTACAGTGTGTGTAAAATGCACATCAGTTGTTTGTAATGACTGTAACCAAAAATTGCCTCTGGGTTTCAAAATAATAGATTATTTTGTTTTGTCGAATTGTTGTTCTGTCCTCAATGAACAAAATGTTATGAGCTGGTAAAATAAATCACATTATATGTTTAAACATGCAGAACTGGATGATAACTCCTGGGTTCCTCTCTACAAATAACACATTTCAGATACAAGTAGTCAAGTTATCCATTGTTAATATAAAAATATTAATTATAGCTGCTTTAATTGTGGCTAAAATGTATTTTGTACTCAATTGGTGTTCATAAATAAACATGCGCAAATTTCAACAGCATCTACTTCTTCCGATATTTGCCACTAGATGACAGTGTTGGTCAGTCAAAAAGATTTGAGCAATTAGCTTTTAGTCCAAAGTCAGGACTTGGTGCTGTATTTGTTGAAATACATAACAACTTTCTGACAGAATATAATATTACATTATCACATTGCACTCCCAAATGAAATGAAGTGTAAGAAAATATCATATATTTACTTATAATGTTATGAATTGCCCCATTTTTAACCTAAATTATAATTTAAAAAATCATAGATCTTGTACTCTAGTCTAAAACATCCATGGGAAAACTTTTATGAACAAAGGTTGGTAAAACATAAGTCTGAATAAACCTCTCCCAGGACAGATAGGTCATTATGCAGTATGTTACTATTTGTTATCCTAATGCATCAGTTAAGGAATAATTCTTCTAGATATCTAACCTTTTGCTCTGTGACCGGTCAACTTGACTGGCACGAAGGGTAATTGTTGTGGGAACACTGAGCCACCTGCGTCCGACGCTCATGGCCTCAAGGATTTCACATCCTAGAGCCCACAAACACCGATAAAGAAGTGCCTCAGTGTTCCCACAACAATTACCCTTCGTGCCAGTCAAGTTGACCGGTCACAGAGCAAAAGGTTAGATATCTAGAAGAATTATTCCTTAACAGTTAGCAGCATTACGTTTTTGTAGGTAGATTACATTCTTTATAAAGTAAGATTCTTTGGTTTAGTGGTTCCCGACCTAGTGGTCACAATTTACATTTGAGGGGTTAGTTGAGGGATAAAATTGATAAAGTTCTGCCACACCAAAGCAATTTGTTGAATTATTCAAGTAAAGTAAAATATATCAAATTTGATGTACTTATGTACATTTGATAGTTTCACAGCGTCACAAGATCCACCATGTACCAGGTTGGAAAGTTACAATAGCTGCAGTTATGGAATACAAGTGGCTGTCAGCAGCATTCATTAAAAAGCGTTGTAGCTCAAATGTAATTGACAATACTGTCGAAAAGGTGGTATATATTGTAAAGTAAAATGTGCTTTGGTAAAACACTTGAGGATTATATTGAGTGTATATTAACTTGAGTCAGTTTACCATGTAGTGTCTCGTGGTTGTATGTGCCTTTGGCACAGTCGTACACCCTCAATATTGGCATATTGATTATCCATGTCATATTGTTTGTAATTGGTTAATTACAGTGACAGTGAAACGTCAGCACTACAGTTTCCTGGACAAACGGTCATAAAAAAGAACCAGCTAAAAACTGGATTCTCTGAAAGACAGCTATTAGAGAGGTTGTGAAATATTAATAGTGATACTAATGATACTGATAACGTTTATGGTACTTTGAGATAAGGAGCTTGCGATAAACCGAAATTGTCTTTAATGCCTAATCAAGGCCACTGCACCCTCTCAACCCTCCCCTCTCTAAGGCTGGAGCCACACGAGAACGGTAACGCAAACGAACCGAAATCAATGTGCGGCCGTCACAAGCTAATGAGGGAACATTTAAAATGATGAGTCTAGTGGTTTCGGCCAGCTGAGGGGAAAAAACGTTCAATTGGGTATAGTTTTTTAACATTTTATTTTTACATGTTCATATAGATACTATTGCAACACAACAAGAAACTCAAGATTAAGTACAAAGAGTTACAAACATTAAGTCAGATGCACAGTCATCTAATTTCAAACTACATATTCCTTGAATACGATTATCTGTCTCAATTAAATTGAATTATTATACACCTTAAAACGATGTGATAAGGATCTCAGTGTGTCTTATACACAGTAAAAACCTGTGGTTCTGTGCAGATGTTATTCTGACCGACTGTATTTCCTGTATGGAAGGCCATGGCATCCTCAGAGTGTTCACATTGTAATAATATAGAATAAAAAACAACCTTTGCATTGCTTTGCTTTTTTAAATAACAGTTCGTTATGAGCCCCAGTTATTGACTTAACTTAACATTAAATAACATACGCTATACCTTATTTGTATTGAATTATTTTAGTAATCTCATGATTTGATCAAATGAAAGAAGTATTTCAAAAATGTTAGAAAACCAAATAATGTAGAATAAGCCAATAGAAAATTATATTTTCCTTATTGTTCACAAATCTTAATCATAAAATGGATTCTTACTTCTCGCATTGTCTGATATTCCTTATTAAACCATCTTATACTAAATGAATAACATACATTTTAAATAGTTTTGCCTGGATGTGTTTGGTCCTTGTGCCATGCCTAATGTACCTCTTTGCATTATATACACATAGTCACAAATATATATTTAAAATCTCAAAGCCGGGTGTTTTTCAGAATGTTTAGCTCTAAATTGAACTCATTTTCCACCTCCTTCTCTGCACTCATTGCAGGATTATCATACACTGCTATGTGTGATTTGTGTTCTTCCCCTTCAACAGCAAGCTGGCAGCATTTGCTGCAGCAACAGCATTTTGCGGTACAAGCACCAACCAATTTGTCCCAGGGTTCCAGGGAGTGGGCCCACAGAGGGAGGAAGTCCCAGGATCGCAGGGCTGCAGGCAGGCACCGGGGTTTCATTTTCTGCAGCGCGTTAATCACTACGATGAGGATCAGCATGGCGACCAGAGGAACACCCACGCCCACCATCACCTTCCAGCCGGCCAGAGACAGGCTGAAGATGAAGAGCGGTAAAATGAAGAAGAAGCTGATGATGTAGACGGCAGCAAACCAGCGGTAGGTGGCGGTGATGTTTCCCAGGCTTTTTGCCAGCCGGATAGGGATTCGGGTGAAGGGGATTGGATACCACAGAAGGATGCCAGAGATGTTGAACAGGAAGTGTACGAGGGCAATCTGGAAATAACATCAACTCTGTGAAAACAGGCTCCCTCTACCTAATAGTTCTTGTATCTCCCAAAATGCAAAAATAAATTTAACACATATTTAAATGTACTTGTGGTGTATGTGTGCATGTTTTCTTGTGCAAGTGACTGACCTGTAGAGAATTTGCCAGTGTCTCTCCAGGACTAGCCATAGCTGCCAGGATGGCTGTGGTAGTTGTACCAATATTTGAACCCAGAGACAATGGGTATGCTCTCTCTATGCTGATGACACCAATACCTATTCAAATAAACAGGAATTAAAACACATAATTACACTCCCTCTCTTCAACTACCATCATCCCTGTGTAACCAGGAAAGTAGTTAGTCAAGGTAGATTGTTTTACTAAGAAGAAAAGATTGACAGGAATTTTAAGTAAAAACGAAAAACACAAATAGAGATGAATGAAATGGATGAATGACCTCACCGACAAGTGGAGTGATAGCAGAAGTGAAAACAGAGCTGCTCTGCACAATGAATGTCATTCCAGCTCCGACAAAAATGGCAATGTAACCTGTGACCCAGCCGAATGGAAATGGGAAATCTGCACACACAAACAGACACACAACATGCATGTGTTACTAACCAACACATTCCCATTCATTTCTCTGCACTTGAGTGTGCGGTGCCACTCACCGGTGTTGAGGATCTTCTTGATGACTGAGGCCACCTGTCCCTTCAGCATGGAGTTGAGCAGCTTGACTATGAGTATCAGGCAGGAGCAGAGCACCAGCAGAGAGAGAGCGAGCAGGATCAGACCCACCGCCAGGTCTGGCAGATTCACATTCACAAAGATATGCTTACCTGAGGACAAACAAAAACACATGCATCAGCGATGGCTGGTATCCTTCATGTTTTAAAGCTGCATGTATGTCTTTTTTATGGCCTACTGCAACAACAACAAAACATTGTCAACGATTATGTGTTCTAAGGATACGGCTTATCTGTTTCTGCTGGTGGAAATGGGGTCAATACAATTGTAAATACATTTTAAAAGTTTCACTAAAAGATGTATGATCTTACAGTAACAGTAGTGTCTGTGCTTTGTTTGCAACGTCATGTTGAATGAAGCCAATTTTTCACAGTGAGAATAATATACATTAATTTAATCGAGAGATTACAGAAAATAGAGTGTATACTGTCAAAACTGCTCTTACATTTCTGGAGATTGTACGTTTCAGAAACGTTCTTCAGTGTGATGGTGTAGTTGCCATCGACCCAGCACAGGGACGGAGACGTGCAGTTATCTGGACCAGGAACCGTGACGTACACTAAGGACTGAAACAAATTGGCAGTTTGACAATAAAGATTTTGATCTTCTTAATGTTTTTGAATATTTGATATTGGAGCTGAAATGTTTTGGTCTTACTGTATTGGTGAAGGTATGGCACCATTTCTTGATGAGACTCTTATTCCTGGCTGCTGGGTCTCCGGTGGCAATCCCATTGATGACGGACTGGTCCAACTAGGTTGAAGGGAAAAATAAAGAAGTAGATCAAAACCATGACAAAGAAGAACTTTAAGGAACTGTTTAGGCTTTGTTAACCAAACTAGTTTTCTCCCTATGGCGTAGTTATATCCCTAAAGTGTTAAGTAGTTGCCTCCCCAACCCTGACATCATGTGATTGGTTTATGAGAGGTTCAGTGGACCACGTACAGTAGATTACACTGTGCAGTAACTTCTGTATCCGCCCAACTATGACTACTGTTACAGAATGTCCACAAAGCTTTTTTTATAATTGATAAATTGTTGGTAAAAATGGCTGTTTTCAGCCTCTCCAATATGGAAATGATCTTCTTTTCTTTATTTTATACCATAACAAAGTGGATATATTTCAATCTTGGACTTGAAAAAACACATTAACAGACATTAACTTGGACTTGGAGAAACTAGAAGGAGAGTGTTTCACTACTTTCTGCAAATGTATAAATTATGAAAATGATTGTACGATATTTCCAGACACTTCCAACAGCTGATAACAAAAGCATTACTGCTTAGGGAAAGATAGCATTTAGATGCGCAGCTCCTCTGTCTTGCAACAGTCTGCAAATTAAATGGAAACTGAGCAATCTGGTGCCACTAAATGTTTTTAAAGCTCGGTTGGATGCTACACAATCGGATGCTGTTGGTACCTGTTCATGTGGATACATTTTAATCCCTGTAATGATGCTGTATGATGTCCTTTTTGTTGTTCTGTTGTTTTATGTTTTTATGTTTCATGTGGAACCTACTTGAGCAGGTCTCCCTTGAAAAAGAGATCAATGATCTCAAGGGACTCACCTGGATAAATAAAGATTTGAAATGAAATGAAAACGGCTGCTTATTCAAATTCAAACTGGATATAAGTGCCAGCTAAATTTCAAAATGATAATGGAGTTAATATACAATTATTATATTAAAATATGTATTGTTTCTTTAATCCCACAGGATAGCTTAAATGACCTAATAACATTTTGTCCAGAATGTCAATAATCAGAAATTATGCGAAACATTTTACCTGTATAATTGAGTCAGTGAGGATATCAGTGATCACATTTAACAGCTCCGGGGCCTCTCCACTCTCAATTTTGAAGGAGTCGATGATGAGCTTCGAGACCTCATACAAATATCCACTGGCGATCTCAAGAGGCAGCAGCACCAGCACGGAGAGCCAGTTGAAGAAGTCGTGAACTGTGGCCCCTGCAAAGGCCCTGGGTACATTGTGAAAGGAGGTAGATAAATGCAAAGTGAGATGACCTTTGATCTTTCTAATGGGATTACATATTATTGCTGTACAGGAATAAGTCATCTAGTAAGAAAGCATGAAAGTAAAACTATTTATAATAGAAATCTCCACATTTTGTGACTTTTCAGATACATTTGATGATCATAAATTATAGGCTAAATACAGAATATTAGATAAAGAACACAATGTTCTTGAACATGTTGAGGGCTTTTTGACTGCAGAGAAAGGCAGTAAAAGGAACCAATCCATCAAATACAAAATAATTACCTGCGAAAGGTGCTGCGGTCACCAGCCTGCGTCATGGCGACGAGTGTGTTGGTGACAGAAGTGCCGATGTTGGTGCCCATGATGATAGGAACGGCCAGCCGGACGGATAACACTGCCGAAGCAACAAAGGTAACCTTAAGTGTGCGTGTGTGTGTGTGTGTGTGTGTGTGTGTGTGTGTGTGTGTGTGTGTGTGTGTGTGTGTGTGTGTGTGTGTGTGTGTGTGTGTGTGTGTGTGTGTGTGTGTGTGTGTGTGTGTGTGTGTGTGTGTGTGTGTGTGTGTGTGTGTGTGTGCCCATACTCACGTCCAGAAGAGACCATGCTGACCACTATGGAGGAGGAAGTGGATGAGCTCTGGACCAGCAGGGTGACCAGGACACCAATGACCAGACCAGCCAGAGGATTGGACAGAACCGAGTTGTCCTGAAAGATGTCCCCCGCTACTTTACCTGGGCAAGGAGAACATAGGAGTATGTGTATATTACCTCCTTCAAACAGTAATAGTATCATTGACTTCTTTCTGGACAAGGTTACAATACATAGGAATAAAAAGGTAAGTAACCATACAAAATACATCAATACAACAATGATAAAACAATGATAAGGAATATAATGAAAATGCATTATTTGATGTTACTCAAATCTATGTGCTTTTGAGTAAGTCGTTAAAACTTTGTGTTGAAGTTGCTGCTGTTCTAAGCTCTCCATTGTAACAAGAGATCTTGAATCTCAATAGGACAAACCTGGTTAAATTAAGTTAAACTAAATATAAAAGTGGCTTAAGATAGGTGTTACTGTGTTTACCTCCAACAAGCTGGAAAGCTGAGCTGAGGACGTCAAGAGAGCAGATGAAGATGTAGAGGAAACCCAGCAGCAGGATGAACTTCCCCACCGACACCAACACCCTCCACACCTTCCCTTTGGTATCCAAAGCTAGAGTGAGAGCAGAGACAAGACATGACAAATATTAAATAAATAATAAACATGGGAAAATATTGTCGACTAATAGGGCAATTATGTCTTGGCAGAATCAGTTACTCCAGTTATACTGTTTATTTGAATTTATTGATATGATGTTCAGCTTCTATGTGCTTGTGTAACAATGTTATGTGCGTTATGTTATGTACACTTTGTCACATGTACAGTAGGATATGTATACTTTAGTGGGCATGTAAATGTATTACATGGTCATGTACATCTAATCAGGACACACGTTATCCTCCAAAAGTCCAATGATAAGACCACACTGTACCTTAGTAATAATTGTTCCATTACAAGTCTTTACCTGACCATGGGACCCCTGTGTCCTTCAGCTCCGGCAGGTCCCACGGGTCTATTTCCTCTGGCTCCTCCTCAACCAACGCCACAGTGGAGTGTGCAAGGCTCGCTTTGACCTCTAAGACAGACAAACCAATGCACATTTACGGCACTTCTTTGTACAACTATATCAATTACATCATCACAATTCATCAAAAGCCTTCTGTTGCGTTTCACACAAAAATAAATACCTTTGCACATGTTGTCATTGCTCTTATTGTCGCCTTCCTCGCAATTATTTGGAGTAGCCATTGGCTAAAAAAGAGAGGGGAAAAATAAGATATTATACAAGGATTTCCTTCTGAATGATTGGGGGAAATGCTATTTTTCCAAATTAAAAACGTCACATACTTTCTAGGAAATGTATTGAAGTTTAATTTGAGTTGTATGAACATATATTGTCTGAAAAAGACATTTCAGTCAAATCAAATCATTACATTTGACCAACATGTATGTGTGTTACATACTTAGAGTTGTTTAACAGCTAATTATGAACTGTTAGACAAAGTATGTAACACACATACCCGCACACACACACACACACACACACACACACACACACACACACACACACACACACACACACACACACACACACACACACACACATGCCAGGGTATTGATCTTTTTGGCACGTGGTCTAGCTGCAGTAAAATTCCATTCAAACAACATTATGTTAGCTATTTGAATTCATGTGTTATCTATTAATACAAATCTTTGTTAATGTACTTATATTATATGATGTATATCATTAATGTACACAACACTGTGAATGTACCTATGTCCATAATAGTATCAACACATGTTTTTAAACAATTGTATGTTTTAATGGTCGAAATGTCAATGTGTTCTTTTATCACCTGATTAATCAATTCCATATAAATATAAATACTTTACCAGTATTTCAATAACCTGGATCCATTTTGTCCTTTGTGTTTGCAGCCAGGGCACACATGTTTATAGACTTACATGCAACTCATGTCAATCATTTATAAAAATGATAGCTTCAGAACTTTTAACGTAAAAATATGGCTTTGTACAAACTAGAAGATATCTCATTATGTTACTATGATAAAATATGTTACCATCATAATAGTAACAGCACGCTTAAAGGTTTAGAGAAAAAAGTATATCTGTAAGAGTATAATTCAGGTATATATAATACACTGTATAAAGCAATAGCATAACTTTGTGATTTATTTACCCTTAATACATACAATTTATTGTAATGTATTCAATCTCAAATAGTAAATTAATATGAAACAGTTTATACATTATTCAGATCAATAGAAGCTATGCTTGTCCTCACCTGTGGCTGGCCGAGCGAGTCCATGCTCCCTGTGTGTGCTGAGCTCACCTGGGCTTCAGGTTTAGAAGTGCTATCTCCACGCAGATAGAGTTAAATATTGGAGGTTGATGTGCGTGGAGGGCAGAGGAGAGTGTGATGTGAGTTCCCTCACATAGATAAGATGACCGCGCCTTTCAAACCTTGCTTAGTCTTACCTTCAACTGTTAACTGTAATCTCTCTGCAGGTTGTGTTGCAATCCCCCTCACATGGTCCCTGATAAGTCCTGAGTTGGTGGTGTCTACCTTCACCTGCACCTACACTTGCTGTTATTACCCAAACGCCTGGTTTTAGGCCTGAGATTTATATAAGGTTCTATTGTTTGTTGGTCCGTTTTGCAAATATGTCCATCCATTTAAAAAACGAATTCCTGTATCGCCTTAACAAAAGTACTCCACAGCCCTCAGTGATGCTGGCTCCAGCTGGTGGTCCAATGTGAGAGGAGTGTCATCGAGAATGACTCCCTGGCAAAGGTTTATACTAACAGATAGACCGCATGGGGTAGTGAGGGGGTTGCCGGATGTGCACTATGTTCTATTTTGGGCACATGATGAGATTTTTTTGGAGCAATCTATTGATTCTCTTAATACAGCTACCCATTGTTCAATACTTCCAACACATCAACGACTTACGTTTAGCCCCATCAAACTGTTGATGATGGCTGATGGCACAAAGAACTGAGAGGGACAAAAGTCAGCCTCGGCCACATGGAAGCTGTGACTGGAAAATGTTTGGTGAGGAAATCTACAATTCACTATGCTTTATTGGCATGAATTTATAAAGGAACTATAAAGACTATAAAGAAATTAATAAAGAAAAGAAAAAAGGAAATGTCTTCTATCTTTCTGTCTCTGAGTGGTGTGCACACATACAGTCCCTATCGCTGTACTTTAACATTTCAATGCACAATGGAGTTTTAAAGATGAATCCATTATTTGTTAACTATTAACTGAATGGTCAACTATTTTGATAAACCATTAATCATTTTGAGTAATCGTTTAGAAAAGCTCTTTGATTTCAGCCTTTTAAATGTAAATATATCTTGGTTTCTTAACTCCTTTATGACAGTAAACTTGAATGTCTTTGAGTTCTGGACAAAGAAAAACATTTCAGGATGTCATTGTTGGCATTGGGAAACACCGATCAATATATGCAGAGTCCTGGAGGGATGATGTTTTGTGATGTAGGCCAACCCAAAGGTTAGAACCACCCTGGTTCCCTGAGACAAAAAGCCAATGGGGTTTTTCCATTGAATCTTATACTTTACATAATCTTCACATATGAACACCAAATGTATCATTTCTGAAGTATAAACACGACTTTTAGAAGGTTAGAGCTATATTAAGCTCTATATTAGGCTATAAAGGAACTATGCTTCACATGACTACAACTCTACCACTACAAAGCTGAAGGCAGACGAGTGTTTGATGGGTTTACATTTTAAACTTGCCTCTTTTAAGACTTGTTAAAAGATTTACATTTCTCATGTGAGGCATTTAAGACATAATTGACTCTTAGCTCAAGTGACCAATAATTAATCACAGGTCCCCCTCTACAGCGAAAATGCAGCCAATTTTACATTTGATCGGCCCCTAAACCGCTCTGGTGTGTGAACAAAAATTAATCATAGCCCTCCTCTGTCACACACACAACCACAGATCAAACACAAATTTATTTTGATGTAGCACTTCCTCTCATGTCATTTTGCCAGTAATATTGAATGGAGGATAACTGGGACAACAAAGGAAAATATACACCTCTATTTTTAGTTTTATCGATAAATGTAAGCCTATTGATTGTGTAGTCACTCATCATCACCCCTCTGTCTCTTCGTGCCTGCTTTGTCTAAACAGATATTTTTTTTTAGATACTATCTTTTTCAGCACTAGCATAACGTTTTAGCTTTACTTTATGCAATCCCATGAAGAGGCAATCAAAGTCTTCTTTTTCAATCAGTATCAACAGCATCACCTAGACACCATACAATGCCATTACAACATTTCCTATTCCCTATTGGCAACTTCTTGACATTGTTTAGATGTAATTAACTGGAATACTGTTTTTTTACTTTTTATTTTTGTCATCATTTGTAGATGCGAAATGAATCAAACATGTTACTGCAGCACAGTGTAAGCAAAAGAGTTATACAATTGATACTTAATTAAATGTTTTACTTATTTATGTAACTAAAGAAAGTGAATGTGCGAAATATAAAAATATAAACATAACAATGTAAGAGAATAGTGTAAAGTAATGTGTGTAATGTTATGTTATTCGTCCAGTTGTATAACTTGAGCAGCAATTAGCCTACAATGCAAAGGCTTAGTTGTGAACAATAAATACAATAGCCTATTCATAATCATATAACTTTTACTATGACTTACTATTACTATAACTATTACACTACTACTTTGTATTGCCTTTATTATACCAAAAATATATTCCACTGTTATTTAGGCTACAACCACTAGATGGCTAGGTCGAATACCTTGAGATGCTTGAGATGAGACTATCATTTTCAAAATAAAAGACCCATTTAAAAGCACCCATTTGTCTAATTTATGCAATCTTTTAGGATTATGTGCATGTATAGTATGTATGATCATTTGTAAAAATCATGAGCTCTGAATATTTTTATGACAACAACACTTTTGTCGCTTCACCTTCAAATTATACTTTTTAACTTCCGGGTTATGTCAGTGCTGCTATCTGGAGCAATGACATTGTACCAAACAGAGAAGCCAGACCGCCAAGTGGCTTACAGTTTGTTATTTCACAAGCTTTGAAACATTAAATAGGCCCGGATATTGTCGTCAACATGTCGTCTACCACCGCAGGTTATACAGAGGAGGGTACGCAAAAGGTAGCACAGGTAAACACAACCATAAACACGCGTTGGGATGCTAACGTGTTAGCTGGCTAGCTTTAACTTTGGATGAACTGCTGTTGAAAGCGTATTAGTTTGTGAGGTGGGACTGCCTATTTCGCTTGCTAATAAGCCTAGTGCTAATGAACTAACTAACAGAATTAAAGCTAACTCTGGTGAGTGTGTGTGTTTATCTTCAGAAGCCTATGGGCACTTCGTACATCCCCACAAAAGAGGAGAAGAGGGTGTTTAAAGAGTGCGCCCAGGAAAGCTTTTGGTACAGGTGTAAGTCTCTCTTTGACATACAAGACATATGAAATGTGTTATGTTGTTTAAAAAACACAGCTAAAAGGAAATCTGTCTTCTTAATTCTGACTTCAACATGCTTCCTTTACAGCTCTGCCCTTCTCGGTGCTCAGCATGGGTGTCACTCGAGCCCTACTTGCCAGAGGTAATGCTATGCACAATGGAGAGGAATCAGCTTGTGAAATTATTTTAAACATACTTTACATTTTCAATTGACCCTTTTCTGTTTATTTACAGGTGCTCTGACTCCGCATCCAAAGTTTGGAAGTATACCCAAAGTCTTCTGTAAGTTCATGATTGTTTAAAGCTGGGAGATTAAACATTTTGCATCATGTTAATGAGTGGACAAAATATTAAGAACACCTCTAACTGTAACAAATAAATAAAAGCATGAACCAACAACACAAACTACAGCCCCTAAAAAATAAGTCGATTGGTCTGGTGTTACTAATACATCTATTATCAGAATCAATCAGATTATTATCCCGGTGGGACATTTGTTTTGTGAAAAATCTTAAATCTGGATCAACACCTCTCCAAAACAATTTTACTGAAAAACTGAACGTTGTAAAATCTTTAAGGTAGGAATTGACTGTTATTGGACTGCACTAGCATTGACCGTGTTCGCCAAATAAACCGGCAGTTGAGTTGTTATTATTAGTGTGATATGAAACCGGACATCCCCTCTGACTGAATTACAAAATGTTTTTAACTTGTTTTCCTAGTCAATATGTGAGGACTGTCAATAATGTTACTAGCTACTGTATCATATTCACTAACAAAACTCTTCTCAGTGATGAATATCCCCTGCCCCTAGTTTAAATGTGCCTGAATATTATATGAAAGAGCAAATAGTAATGGCCAAAATAATGTCTGATCAAGAGTGAGGTCTTAAAGAATAAAATATTTAATTAAAAAAACGTTTGCCTATCCAGTCGCTGGTTTTTGTGGCTACTTTGCTGGGAAAATGTCGTACATGGGACCATGCAAAGAGAAGTTCAAGAGCCTGGAGAACTCTCCTCTGGGAGAGGCCATCAGAAAAGGACTGCCTCTACAAGTGTGAGTACCACACACCAGAGATGGAGTACTCGAGTCCTGGACTCGGACTCGAGTGCCGATTTTCGGGACTTGTGACTCGACTCGGACTCGCGCACTGATTGACGCGACTCGGACTTGGACTCGTGAATTTTCGCGCACGATGACTTGGACTCGGACTCGGACTCGGACTCGTGAATTATCGCGTACGCTGACTTGGACTCGGACTCGTGAATTTTTCCCCCCACGATGACTCGGACTCGACTTGTACATTGACGCTCCGACTTGGACTCGGACTCGGACTCGAGCAAGTTTTCTATGGAGTCTGATGTCCTCTATCCTGGCGTGTGCTGGGCCCCGCTATTCCAGTCTAAAGATGTCTAGAGACACACCCCGCATCGTGCTGTATGCTTTCACACATTCTGCTTCCACATTGGAAAAGAGCAGCGCAAAGTGCTCTATGTGGAAACAATATTGAAGAGAAGGCTCCGTAACACATTACTCTAAGGATCGAGTTCAGACATATAGGCTGTCTTGAACACTATCATCAGAGTAACGTGATCTAATCAATAAATAAAGATTCAGCCGAAAGCACATGGCTACTTAACATGCAGAATGACGTCATTTTGCATGCTAAGTAGCCATGTGCTTTCTGGGGCTAAATCTTTATCAGTAAACTGATTTAACCGGTAAAAGTTCCTTCAAAATAAGAGTCCCGGTCTTATTACTATCAAAATAAAAGTGCAAAACGAAAACTTCACCATAGAAAATATTGGCATACCAATATAATCACTTCTCTAAAAGGTAACTCATTTTAAACATAGTTTATTTATATATAATAATAATAATATTAATATTAGTAATAAGCTTTATATTTGTATAGCACCTATTATAAGAATTGTAGCCAAACTGGCTTCACAGCAGTTCACTAGACAGATTAGTATAACATGACAGGATAAAAGCAATGTAGAGGAGCAGCTACATTTCAACACATATATCCACAAAGATTAATACATGAAGACTTGTGACTCGGACTTGACTTGGACTCTTCTTAGGTGACTCGGACTTGGACTCGGACTCGGACACAGGTATTGATGACTCGGACTCGACTCGGACACTCCTTGGGTGACTCGGACTTGGACTCGGACTCGGACTCGACTCGGACACTCCTTGAGTGACTCGGACTTGGACTCGACTACGACTCTCCCTTGGTGACTCGGACTTGGACTCGGACTCGAAGAGTGGTGACTCGAGAGTGACTTGGACTCGTGAATTGGTGACTTGACTACAACACTGCCACACACACACACACACACACACACACTTGTTTGTGACTATATGCTTTCCTCCTCCATCTACTACTTAAATATGTTTCTGTTCTCTTCCCCAGATCCAAAGGCCCTCAGTCAGAGATGAGTGACCCAGACACCCAGTCATTTGACACCATGTTCCAGGCTGCAGAAGCCCCCAGCCACGCGCCTGTTACCCAAAGTTATGACTACAATTCAGAGTCACCTGTGCCAATGGGCAAAGAAGATGACTTCAGCGCTCCAGGGAGCTACAGTATGTTTTTCAGATACAGTGTAATAATTACTGTCTTTTGAAGAGAGTTGTTAAAATAATCAATATTAAAGAGCATCATGATGATGAGGTTTCACATTTATAATTGATGCAAACTTGCAAAGACAATATGAGCCGAGTGTGCTTTTTCACAGATTAAATAACTGAAGAGTATTTCTTAAAGATAAATTAGGCTTATTGATGGCGTCAGACATTATTTTCCTCATTCTACTTAATAAATCCAACTATGAAATGTGTTTCCTACTTCTGCTAAGTTTTACTATGTCCTAGATAACGCTTTTTGTCCCCGTCTACTGTCCCCACCACTTTCAGTTGAAGACGAAGAGCCCAGGAAGAAGTCCATCCTCTATGAGGATCTGAGGGGCAAGAACAGAGAGAACTACGAAGTCACGCTCACTCAGAAGTCAGAGACTCTGCTTAAACCATCACCTGATAGGGAGCCAGGGAGACCCAGGAAAGACGGTAAGCTTCTACTGCAGAGATGTTTAAAACACTTGCTGGGTTGGGAAAAGACTAGGGCCGCATCTAATTTCTGGGATTTCCCCTCCTCGACTCCTATCCTCGTGTCTTAGTCCCGCCCACAGGAGATGCGAGCGGAGGAGCCAAGGAGAGAGGAGGGGAAGCAGCAGGCGGTTAGAGAAATTAGAACTCCTCTCCTCTGAGTGGTCATATTAAAGAGACGTCCATTAATGATGACAGGAGGCACAGCAGCCCTCTGTCTGATGGACAGATGTGTTCATGACGACTTATATATTTACTTTTAATTCATTCACAGTGCGGTATAATGAGACAATAACAGGCTACAGATGCGGACACACACATATATGTATATATTTATATAAATATATACAATTTCAGAATCAAACAAGTATGAGAGCACTCTCATAATAACGTAACACAATCAGAGACTGGATTAATCCCCCCCCCCCCTCTCCCCTCTCTGGTCGCTACAATGAGGAAAATAAGTTACGGGCCAAAAGTTGTATTTACAAGTATTAAAAGTAAGCAGAGGACACCAAACCAACTGAGACCTGTCTGTCTGCTGCATCTACTCTCACACACACTCACACACACACACACAGCTCCTAAAGCATAGTCAGGCTACAGCCGTTGTGTATTTTATTATGTGAAGCACTAAATGGTTTTAGAAAAATATCGACTCTTTGTTTGTAGATATCTACTAAACTAAAGCAAATAAAGAGAGTAGGCCTGTTATACTGAGTGATATATATTATACACACTGCTCTGCTTTCTGCACGGACCTCACAGCTGTTCTCTCTGTAAACATCGCGTCGCGATGAAAGCAGTTAATAAAATAATATCCAGGGGATGCATGCAGAGCTGTCATTGGCTGAGATCAGTCCGCCCGTGCGTCACGACTCTTTGAAACATCTCTGTTGCCGGAAATGCATCCACGGAGGAGCCGTGGAGGACCCATCAGTGTATCCTCGATTATAGCTCCTCCAGAGAGCCTCCTCGACGCTCGATCCTCGAAGTGCATTTAGAGAAATGAGATGTCCTTCAACATGGCGCGCTGAAATTCATTTCCGGGTCACTACCGGAGGATTCGAGGAGGGGAAATCCCATAAATGAGATACGGCCTAGGACAGGGGTACTCAAATACAAATCTTAAAGGTCCAAAAAAAATGTTTCAATATGCACTGTGCATTTTGTATTCCATCACAAAGCTGATTAATCAAATCACCAGCCAGTATTTATGTTCTTCTGGTTGCTGTGGAATCTGAGAGGGGGATTTGCTTGATTTGACCTGTTATTTCCTCTTTTTGTTTGCCTTCAAACATGGTCTCCATCACTTCAGTCATGCATTATTTTATATTTCAGTTATTATCCAGTGGAATGTCCTTACCTACTGGCCTAGTTAAATCAAAGTGGTTACTTTTTTTTGGCTGGGCAGTGGGCAGTGTAGTTTTACACACCGTCTTATTTGACTTTCTCAGGACTTAAAACTGTTTTTTGGGGGCAGACCCCCACAAAGAAAAAAATATATTTACACACGTAAGGTCATCATCTTAACAGTTTTGTATGCTCATCCGTGAGCAGAGCATCAAGTTGACATGTCTATTACAGCTGAATGCAGCGATTACCATTTTGTTCAGCAAAACGAAGACCCGCCCTACTGTGCCTCTGATTCGCAGACTGTTGGTGGGGGGAAAAAACGCTGACGGGATGCTGAATGTGATTGGACCAAAGCGTTGACAGACACACAGACAGTGGAACAGTCTGACATGCAGAGCGCTGTATGCAGTGGACATAGTGGAGAATTTTGACTCGTTGCGTTGTGGCGATGTCTCGCAGATAACACAGATAATACATATGAAAAGTATAATTTGCTCAGAGTCCAGAGACAGTTGTGGTTCGGTCCGGATCCGGACCGGAGTCCGGACTTTGAGGATGGCTGGCCTAGGAGTTGAAATTAGTGCAGCTGTTGTTTTTAAATGTTTCAGTAAAACACTAAACCCCTTCTTCTTGTGTCTCTTATGTTACAGTGAAGAACAACATCTATGGAGATTCTTGGGAGGAATGAGTCCTTATGTGAAATTAAGATGTAATCTGTACACTGGCATCACATATACTGCAGTATAGATGGCAGCCCAGTGGTAATTTTGTTCCAGTCTGACATGTGTCCTGAAGTTGTAGAGTTTGATATATATCTTTGCAAAACAGTCAAATAAAACAAAATACAAGAAGAAAAAAAACTGTCCTCTATTCTTAGACACAAAAAGATAATATGCAAGCTATTAGAGCACAATTTGGATCGACAAAGACAGTGTTGATTGGGTTATAACTGTTATTTTTGTAATCTATCTCAAGGGACGTATCGATTTAAAAAGTGTATAGCTTGACCACAACATCAGCAGATCATAATTAGTTTTGTCACACTATACAAGTATACCTTGTCCATAGTTCTGCCTGAAAAGGGAGAGGATGAAAATAAATAGTTTTTCTAGTTCTATCAAGTTTTGGGAGCTTCAGTCCAGTTAACATACAGTAAACTTAATCCTGCCCTCTTTAAATATACTGGATGTTTTTTTCTTCCAAGACTTTAAGTATTTAGTACACATAGTTTATTTGAAGAAATAGTACAAAATGTTTTTTGTTTTTTTTAAATGTATGTACAAAAGTTACACATAAACTTCAAACATTTAAACAAATGTCATTAAAATACAAGCTTCAGACGGTCGACAAATACTGTAATACCCTAATGTAAAATCAAGCCAAAAACGAGAGACGCTGCAGGTGCCTGGCAGCAAGGCTCCTCTATATGGATGGAACACTGTAAAGCAATTAAATAAATCATCATGCTTATAAATGAGCATGACCATGACCGTCGCTATGGCTGTGGTTGCAGCTTTGGCCAACACTCTGCTGTGAACCATGTCCATGATTTGGCCCAGAGCTATGAGCAGAGCCTTGGGGAATAACAGGTGGTGTGAGACCGGAAAGAGCGGCAGTCGAGTTGGACCAGCCTTCATAAATATTGGCTGTCATATTGGCTGGGTTCATGCTGGACAATGGAGCATAAGCCTGGACCGGGTAGGAACCAGGGGTTGGATTGATTTGTGGAAGGAGTGTTTTCCTCCTCTCCTCTGTGGAAGCAGGGACAAACTTGATACCCCTGATGCTCCTCAACAACCGGAAAGGTATCATCTTCTCCAGAGTTCCAGCCTTTTCTGCAGATATATTCAGAAGAGAGAACCATCCTTTCCCATACATCCAACCAACCAGGATGGCAATAATGTTACAGGGGAGCACACTGTAAGGAACGACGGCAGTGGTGATTATGAGGAGCACCCAAGGCAGAGCCATGGTGGGGAAACTGACCCCACACAGGAATCCTTTAGTCATTTTTGTGTGCATGGTAGTGAGAGCCACACATGCCAGGGCCGCAGGAAGCAGCCCCTCTGCGGGACTCCGGCTGCTGTCTTCTTGCATTAGATCCAGGAAGCTGTAGAAAAAGCCTGTGGTGGTCGACAGCAGCAGGAACAAGAACAGGAAGCGAACAGTGCCAACACCTTTCTCGAGACTGCCGCTGAGAAACACCAGAGCTGTGATGTTCACGAGGAGCTGAGCAGAGGTTTTGTGGTAAAAAGGGTACGCCAAGAGCCTTTGGAGGTGCCCATGTTGAAACACAGTAGCACCAACACTGAGCACTCCCTGAGTGAAGTTGAAATATGTTTGTATGCCGAACAAAGCACACGATAAAAGTACCACTATTACAATCCCGCTCGTGAGGTCAGGAACCAAACCTTTGAACTCTTGAAAGATCCATTTAAAATGTTCATTTCGCATCATCTTGAAAAACCACTTCAGATATCCACGGCTGATGAGCGGAAGAAAAACTTTGCCTGTGATTCGTTTGTCTTCACACTTACTAAACAGGAAGTGGCGGTACCGGTATATCCAGATTGCTTTAGGGCCGTTGATTATAAAATATTTAAAATGTTCGGGCTGATATATGCCCTTATGGATAACTTAAATGTGCGAAAACTATTTTTTTTAAATGGCAACACTTAAACTAACGCTGTTCGATGGCAAGCTGTTTCCAGAAGGAAGTAGACTCGCGCTGCTTGAGTGTTAAATGAAGACTTCTGGTCAAACGTTTCAAAATAAAATATGTATTGACAAAGACCGGCACATTTTGTGTGAAAGTTGTATTTAACTGCGTATGAAATCAAGGCATTTAAGCTGTATCTGAGTCGGAATTTAAATCTATAGCCTGTTGGGTTCAGATTCAGGATAAATGTCACATCTCTCCAACGTTCATGCCGTATTTTGAAGGATTGTTAGAACAACTTCCGGTAAGCTGTCATAAATATTATAATCATCATAATATTTACATATAACCAGTTGTATTAATATTTTCAGCGTTAAAATTGGGACAAAAAAGTAATGATTAATTATAAATTAATAAATTATAGCAACAGTGGTGAAAAATAACTAAACATTATTCTCCGTAAGGTACTGTATTTTACTTGATTATTTCCTATTGAGTAAATGTAATGCTTATACTTCAAAAAATGTACTTGATTTGTAAAAATGTTGAATGCAGAACACAAGATATTCTTGACATAATGCATGATTCAGGTTAAAATACTCAGCATTTCATACACATGAGTTTATAGAAATGTGTTTAAGTAGGCCACTCATACTTACTTTGATCAGATCATATATTAATATGTCCTTCTTTCTTCTACTTTGTTATGTACCCCTGGTATTGTCAGGTTGTTTGTACATACTGTTAACGTACATAGATATAGAGACAATGATAGAGATATGGATTTTGTTGTAAGAATTCTTACATATATAAAAACAAAATATTTCCATATTTATAATACCTACTGAAGTCATGGTAAATAATTAAACGTAAAGTACAAAACAGGACAAATGCTGCAATGCCATAAAGCACCCTTCATTCATTTTGTTTAAAAAAAAAAGGGAAAATAATCAGACGTAAGCACGTCTGTCCATGGATGTATAATAAGGTCTGTCCCCCTTCCGGTGTCTTCCGGTTACTGCGGCGGATGTTGATGTTTTGTTTCGGAGCAAAACGATGTGAACTGTTTCGTCTCCGGGACGGGTGGATATTTCTGTGCGGTTGTCTTCACGTTTCTCTGTGTACTCTTTTAACGGTACCGTTTCGCTGTTCGTCGGCATCGTGTCTGTCCCGGTGTCGGTCCCGGGAAGCGCGAGGCCGAGTTGTGCGATGATGGAGGACTTTGATGAGATCTACGAAGAGGAGGACGAGGAAGAGGAGGACGAGGACAGGGCCGCGGAGGAGCAGCTCCTCAAGTACGCTCCGGACCCGGTGGTGGTGCGAGGGTCCGGCCACGTCACTGTGTAAGCACCCGGCGACACTTAGGGGCCACCAGAGAGGAGTTTACCGGTACCGTTAAGAGATCAGCAGCCGCAGTCTCCGTGGATCACTGGCTGTTAACTGAGTTAGCATGGTGACCTAGCGCAGACAGCTAGCTACTAAATTAGCACCCAGCTAACTGGCTATAAGTGGTTGATTAGATTGAGCTTTCGTTTTAGCTATGTAGCTACATGACATATTCAATAATTACATACTTTTTTTAACGTATGTTGTTGTATTTGCTATTTTCGTGTTATCTAAAGTAGAAGTAAAAGTAGAACTACCAGCAGGGATACTTTGTTACAAGTAGCCTACAAGTACAAAAGTATTGGCATCAAAATATACTTGAGGTACTAAAAGTAAAAGTTTCCATTATGCATTGGCCCATCTCAGAGTTATACATGTTTTGATCATAATTATTGATGCATTAAAGTGTTTACCACAGCTGGTAAAGGTGGAGCTAATTGTTGTATAGTGCAAGCTTGTGAATTTACTCCAGGTGTGACTAAAGTCTTATTTAAGTGTTGATTAGGTTTCACATCATTAATCCAAATCTGCAAAGTAACTAAAGGTATAAATAAATGCAGTAGAGTAAAAGTACATTAAACCTCTGAATTAACCTCTGAATTGTAGTGAGGTATAAGTCCCTAAAAATGTAACTTTACTGGTACTCTCAATAACATTTCTGTGTAGCTAGCTACTGTGTTAAAAAAAACACAAAGTTGTTGTAACAGTATTAACTGAAGGAACACACAACGTGCTGATGATTCACTTGAAATTAAAAGGGTTGTTTCGTTGTTCACTGCTCTCTCGCACACTACAGTGTTGATACTACATTGTATGCCAGCACTCCTTTTGTGGTTACTCTTGTTGGCACATATGGCTGTGTAATGTAGTGGAAAAACAAGATGTATGATGTTGTGGGCAATCACTTTTGGTTTGATTTAGGTTTAGGGTACATGGTCATATTGGGTTTTTGGGGGTCAAACACAGCCATGTAGGCCTATCATTTTTGACATACCGAAGATACTATAATATCCGGTTTTAATATAATTATATGTTGTCTGTTTTATGGGGCTCCTTTTATAAATAAGATGGTAGATATGAGGAAGTTTATCCTTTGGCATATTTAACTTGTCAAAAATAACCCCTGATAGCTGCAGGCGACGGGCGTAAACTAGGGGCCTGCAATGTAAAATAGTGGTAGACTTGATGCCCCTTTTGTAAATATTTATTTTAACCGCACATATTTGCCTATGTATAACTGAGTAAGGTTTTCCCTCTCTCCCACAGGTTTGGGCTTAGCAACAAATTTGAGTCAGAATTTCCTTCAGCACTTACAGGAAAGGTGAGTGTCTTGTTGTAATAAATAATGCATATGATTCATGGCAAAATTACATTTTCACATCTAAAATATTTACCTTATATTCTACCAGCCAACACATCATACATAATATATGATGCATGTTGTTCTCTGTTAGCACAAACAGTGTTGATAGTAAACCACATATAAATGCAGATTACATTTATTTGGCCTAGATTAAATTGATTTAGAACGCTACTCAAAGCATTGCAACCCTCCATCTGAAAACACTCAATGTTGCTAACTGTATGTGCACTTCCTCAGGTGGCACCAGAGGAATTCAAAGCCAGTATCAACCGTGTGAACGGCTGCCTGAGGAAGACACTGCCGGTGAATGTGCGGTGGCTCCTGTGTGGCTGCCTCTGCTGCTGTTGCACATTGGGCTTCAGTTTGTGGCCGGTCATCTGCCTCAGCAAGAGGGTGAGAAACTCATCCGTTTTGCATATCCATCAACATCATAGTGAATCTAATTCTGGAAAAAGGGATAATAATATCAAGTTATTTTCTCGTTGCCTTCCAGACAAGAAGATCTTTAGAGAAACTCCTTGAGTGGGAGAACACCAGACTTTACCACAAGGTGAGCATTGAAGGTGTAAATGTTTTTTGTGTACGAGTGAACTTGATATGAAATGTTATGAAAATGTCTGATCAATATTGCTCTCTGTTTGCAGTTGTGTTTGCATTGGATACTAAGCAAAAGGAAGTGTGAAACCAACAACATGATGGAATATGTAAGTATCTGTTTGAGTGAAAATAATAACATATACAACACAAGGTCTGGTACAAAGATGACATATTTTACAACTTGAAATACAGTATATATCATTGCGGCAATACGTGTATTCTCGTCACAACCAATGCAAGGTAAACTGGGAATGACCATATCCATGTCATTACGTAATCTGCTAGAGAATGTATGCTTGAATGTATTTCATTGTTTCATGCAGTGACCAGCCGAAGTTAAGCTTGGCTTTACATTTTTGCTGGAAAACCATGCATATTTTTCTGAAACCTACATTGCCAATATTGGTTTGAACTTTGCCTTGCACATACAACATATGATACGTGGTAATTAATCACAATGTATGGGTTATATATCAAATTCCTCATGTGTTTCTCAAAGACAATCTTTCGATTTTTCCTTCCTGTCACTCTTTTTTCAAGGATGTTTCTTTTACTGAATTGTTTTCATTTTAGACTTTCTATAAATAATGAAAAATGATAATGAATAATCCACTAAATAAATACCCGGCACATTAATGTACCTGATATCATTGATGCACAACATAAAACCTGAGATGTTAAATTGATAGCTACCTAAATTGAAACGCCATTTCCTACCACTTCTCCACCCTCTCATAGTAACAGCTTTCCCTCTTATCTCCTGCAGGTAATCCTAATAGAGTTCCTACCTAAGATCCCCATCTTCAGACCGGACTAGCCCGAGTGTGGCGGATCTTCAACCTCCACGGCTGCCCAGATCTGTCATAGAACTACAATGGCTGCCAAGCTCCTGAAGAAATTCCCTAATATTTATGTTTACAGGGTAGCATCGTTTTTCCCTCTTCTCTTTTACCCGTTCTCTCGCACATAACTTCTCTTTACCCTTGTTTACAAATCCAGCATCCCAACACTTGTTAATGGATTGCATTCACCATTTAATCACGATTTACCGAGCAAGCGGGCACACTGTTAAGCCACGCTAGCCAGCACCAACCTGGGGATGTCAGGGGAGAACCAGCTATGGGCAGCGTTATGGATTTTGGAGCTGGAGACTGGACTCCTAAATTGAGTTCTCTGAGCTATGACTGGAATTGTGTCCCTGGTATGTTCCCAAAACTAAGCACATGGCACAGTCAGACCATGAGAAAAAACCTTCACGTTACCTACTGTCTCACCGCCAACTTCACCTGCAGAAAAAACACCCCAGTGCTTTTGTAAAAGTTGTTTTGGTTCTGTAGATCATTATTTAAGGCTGCGGATGCAACATAACGCACAACCTTAAAGGAACCTTCATCCAAATCAACTTTGTAGCGGACTGCCTAGTCTTACAGGAGCATGCTGGGCTCTCAAATGTCACTCCTCTTCTCCACTAGCAGACATCCTCCCGTCTCCTTTATGTCTCTGCATCACCCCTAACCCAGTGACAATCACACAGTCTGACTGTATTCTCCGTGGTATGAATGGGTCTTAATGCTGAACAGTTTACCTGGAACAATTTGTCTTCAACATTATGTTTGTCCAGGTGATGGGCTGGCTGCCTAGCAACTGCTTTTAATGCGCAGTGGAACTACTAGTGAAGCAGACACTTACATCTCAAGTTTTGTTTACTTAAATAGTGAAAATGAGTGAGTCAATGCTTGCAACACTTTTCACGGTGTTATGTGTGTGTCTTTTAGAGAGAGAAACAAGCAAAAAAGAGACATCAGACATTAAGAGAGACTATACTCTGTAAAGCAGGGTTCTTTCTTTGATGCTATTGTTTGCCATAAAACATATTTGTTGCTTTTCTTGTACTTTATAAATGCGCGAGTGGGCATATAGTCTGCATTTGTGAAATGGGCCTTTTTTGTTTTTTGATAAGATTTGCCATTGTTTTCTTTTTGTCTTTATGGTCACATGTCAACACTAAAGCACACAATGAGTCCTTAACACCGCCACATGGCCTCTCTTCCTTATCTGCTGACCTTGGATTACCTTAATGAATGCTCAAGTTAAGGATGTGGCTCTTCTGAGAAAGATAATCTGTTAAGATATTATCTGACTAATACAGAGGTCTGGGGTTACCATAGGTGTTAGGTCCTCTTTATAAGGTGTTAGATAATACCAGGGTTCTGTATCATGAAGCAGGATAACTTAAATTAGCTTGATAATTGCGCTGAGTGTCACCAGACTACTCCAAAGTCGGTTAGTGGTCGGACTTCCAAGCTGCAGCACTAATCAGTTTTTTTCATATTCTGAAATATTCTATAAATGAAAATGGCAGAATTTTCCAGCAGCAGGCCGATGTTTTCCCTCAGGAGTAAGAGACCAATACAGAGATAAAAGAGTGCACATCTTAAACTTTGGTTCATCATTTGGCTGCAAACACGACTCCAAATGAATGCTCATGTGGCCTTTTTGGTTGGTCCTTTATCTAGCATCTCATTTATCTTACAATCATGCTTTGTGAAAAAGCTGTAATACACATTTTAAACCTTTCAACATGTATCATAAAGCACAATTTAGTTTGATGAAACGTACAACCATTTATCCATAAAGGATGGCATATATTTAGCGTTTCCCACTCTGCACACCTCATGATTTATTAAAACATCCACAGACTGAGATTGAGAAAGGCCACTTTGATTTAGGTCACACAGCTCCAGTGATTGTATGAGTCACTCTCAGGGGATTATACTTATAACATGTATTATTGGAAAATCCTACTGTCAGGTTTGTTCCAGAGTTACATCAGGGGCTCCTGTACAATACTCAGATAACACATTATTGAATAATCAATAACTAATACATTTGGCTGTGAAATTTGAAAAATGCCCCTTAGATAAAGAAAACTAACCTTTCTGTGGTCTTCCTATTTGATAGTATAGGAAGCACATACTCCATGGACCCACAAAGAGCGCATACATTGTGTTCGTTTATATGTTTAAATACACAAACATACACTATTACCTCTGGGTAATGAAGTGATATCATCAGTCACTTTCCTATATTTCTGATTGTGGTCTGTTCTATATGAATCAAGGCATAAGGCCATATGCAGATATTTGTGGTGTGAGCGCGTATGTGTGTATGCAGATTCAAATGTTCTTCGTAGATCTCAGACTGTGATTGAATCCTGCACAGAAAATGAGTCCTTTTTTATATAACCCTGAGTGGTCTGTGTGTGTGTTTGTGTGTACGAGGGAGAGAAAGATATATGTACATATGACTCATGAGCAGGTATGCAGATGTACAGTAATAAACTACCAATAAACAAGGCTATGGGCATCCAAGTCTGCGTGATTTTTCCCCCCTGCTTGTTGACATTAAAGGTCCCCTATTATACTTTTCTTCAACAATATATTATAGGTCTCAGATTTATACAAAACATGCCTCTGAAGTGTTTGGCTCGAAATACCAAACGGATCATGCATGCAATAACCCCTCTGTTTCAGCTCTGTTCCAAAAGTGCTGATTCTGTGTCTGTAACTTTAAATGCTAATTAACTGCCACTCCCCCTGCAGAGTGTGATTGGTTTGAAAAAACACAATGTTGCTCTAGGAGGAGATTCAGGTGATAAGGTGGGCGGGTGTTACCTCGGTTGGTTATAGAGTGATGCAGTGACGAGTCTTAATACCCGGAAGTGAGTTAGCATTTTACCACTACCGGTTCCCTCGTCTCAGAGTCAATGGGATTTCTCCATAGGATTTTGGAAAATAGCTCGAAATAAGGTCTGTGATTGACACAAATTGAAGAGATGGATCACGTTTTGTTCTACGACATTAAATACATCAGCAGTGACCCCACTGGTGATTTTTGAAGAGTTTACGTGTCTGAAAAACGATGGTTGTTAACAAGTGGCTGAATAGGACTACAGAAGTTGTCGAGGAGGTTGTACGTCATTTCACCGAACACGTAAACACTCCCGCTAAGTTTGTTTGCCCCTGTTCTGCTTGAAAGCAAGTACCTGCGCTCTTGCAAACTGTTAAAACAAAATCTTCAACTTGTACAATTTTGAATCTGTATTTTTGAATATCGATCTTAAGTTGGCGTGACGTTGAAGCAGCGACCCTGCTGTAGTTCGTTTATAGCATAACGTTAGCAATTTGCTTCTGGCGATTAGATTTATGATTATAAAATTATAAAAGTAGGGTAGACATGTGGATATTATCCGGCTGAACAGGTTCGTTTTCCACAGACCTTATATCAAGCTAATTTCCAAAATCCTATGGAGAAATCCCATTGCTTTTTTGTCGAGGGAACCCATGCGCAGCTTATTTCCGGGTAAATACGTCATCCCTGCACCACTCTATTGGCTAATGGTTTCACAACCCAAAAAAAACCTTGTGACATCACAAAGTGGCCAACATCTGCTCAGCTAATTTTCAGACAGGTTTTGATATAAATAGATCAGGACAAATTGAGAGAAAATATTTTCACCTGAAACTTTCAGAATCTCACACATAGAGGGGATACATATGTATGTGCAAAAGACATGAAAAAGTGGATTTTGCATAATAGGTGACAAGGCTGGAGCCACACGAGGACGATAACGCAAACGGACCGAAATTGATATCAAAAAAGTCTTCCGTCCACACGCAATAGGCACCAGAAACGTGTCCGTTCACACGAGACCGCTCGAAAGTGCTGGAGACGCTGTAGTACATATGCCGGGCCTGTAAGTGGCGCTGTACTCCTGCCACGCATGGTTGCCATGGTTGCCCTTCTGTTTATTCTCCGCTGTGGACGCTCTGGCTCTTTTTCTCCCTCCCCGAGGCAAGCGTTTGCTCCTGCTGTAAATCTCTCCGGTAGTCCACCAGCAGATGAAAAACACCCACCTCTCCGCCTCTTCCAAGGGACGAGGGAACTGTGTGGCAGAGTTTCCGTTAGAATTGTTTTCGCCGGTCAACATGTCCGTTAAAGTTTAAATTTTCCGGACAAAATTAGAAAAGTGCCGGTCAGAGGTCTTCTTTGTTATGTATTGAGCTTTAAAACAAATTGATAACGACTCTATATAATAATATAATAATAAAAAACGGAGCCTCTCTTTTTCTCCCCCTCTTCTGACAGCCCAGCAGCTGATCTCTGAGCAGGAGACATGGGGAGAGGGAGGCGGGGCTATTTCATCGTTATCAGAAAATGATCGCATAGAGGTGTACAGACGGATCCGTTTGACCCCCCAGAGCATTTCGTTTGCAAATCTATCCACCTTGGGACCCGTTATCGTTTGCGGGGTCCGTTTCTATCGTTTTGTTACGGCCTTGTGTAAACGAAAGGGCTATACGCAAGAGAAACTATGCGGATACAACCCGTTTTGTCCTCGTGTAAACAGTGTCTAAGGTGCTTGCCACACGAGGACGATAACGGTCGTATCTGCTACAGTTCTCTATCAGATAGACGGTTCGGCCACACGATTCCACCTTCATGACAATGGAATAGGGAGTGCATTTTTTTACCGTGAGTAAATTAGTAAGTAAAGTAAGTTTTGCCGTGAGTGAATTAAAGTCTTATTTCTTCTTGAGGTCTGCAGGGAAGCGTGTACACATTTGCTGAATATGAAAAGACTCTCAGTGTGTGCCCACTGTGCGACTGTCAAGGATAAACAACCTGTGGCCGCCGAGCCAGTCATGTGGATGTCAGTTTTACACACATCCTCGGGGAGGGAGAAAAAGAGCCAGAGCGTCCACAGCGGAGAATAAACAGAAGGGCAACCATGGCAAACATGCGCGGGAAGTCTTCTTCGCTGCTTTTGTGGTAGGAGTACAGCGCCACTTACAGGCCTGGCATATGTAGCCTACAGCGTCTCCAGCGCTTTCGAGCGGTCTCGTGTGAGCGGACACGTTTCTGGTGCCTGTTGCGTGTGGACGGAAGACTTTTTTGATAACGATTGCGGTCCGTTATCTTTATCGTCCTTGTGTGGCTGCAGCCAAGTCTCAATGAAGGAAATCTGGAAGGACTAAATCACATACGACTGGAGTTACCCTTTTAATTTAGCATTATATGTGCCCCGGAGTATAAACATATGACATATCAAGTCAATGCATCTGTTATTGTATTCCTGTATCATTGTTTTCGAATATATGCTACTGTATGTGTAAACCACTTTGTCGCATTAGTTTTGAATAATGCTACTTAAAGGGGACCTATCATGCAAAATGCACTTTTGTACGTCTTTTATACATGAATATGTGTCCCCGGTGTTCCAGGGAACTCACCAAGTGTCAGAAAACTCAACCCTCTCTATTTTCCTCCATACCCAAATCTCTAAAAAAGGGGCTGCAACGGATCTGATAAAAACTGATCCAGATTTGAACATTTAATTGACGTCAGGACGGTGGAGCTACGGCTATTGGGCCAACTCTCCACCTATCAGGGGAATGTGGGGTTGGGCCACGGCCGGCCATTGCCGCTCGAAAGCGCTGGAGACGCTGTAGTACATATGCCAGGCCTGTAAGTGGCGCTGTAGTCTGCCACAAAAGCAGCGAAGAAGACTTCCCGCGCATGGTTGCCATGGTTGCCCTTCTGTTTATTCTCCGCTGTGGCTCTTTTTCTCCCTCCCCGAGGCAAGCGTTTGTTCCTGCTGCTGTAATTCAATGCAATCCCTCCCCGTCGAGGCAAGCACTGTAATTCTCTCCGGTTAGTCCACCAGCAGATGACAAACACCCACCTCTCCGCCTCTTCCAAGGAACGAGGGGACCGTGCGGCAGAGTTTCAGTTAGGTTTTTTTTCGCCGGTCAAGATGTCCGTTAAAGTTTAAATCTTCCGGACAAAATTAGAAAAGTGCCGGTCAAAGGTCTTCTTTGTTATTTATTGAGCTTTAAAACAAATGAATAACAACTCTATATAATAATATAATAAAACACGGAGGACGGAGATCTCCCCCGTCTTCTGACAGCCCAGCAGCTGATCAGAGCACGCTCCCCTCTCCTGCTGGGGGGCGTGGTCAGCTGCAGCTCACAGAATCAGCCCCCTGCAAAAACAGGGCTGGAAAAAGAGCAAATGGAGCGAAATGAGGCATAGCTAAAATGCAGGATCTGTTCGGTATTTAAAAAAAAAAACTCTATTTTTATACTTTATATAGGTATGGCCCTACAATATATTGTTCAAATATAGCATGATAGGTCCACTTTAAATATACATGGTTGCATGTTAGAAGAGTCAGGACAGCCAGTTTGTTTTAGTTTCAGTGATAATGTAGATTAATTGAAGACAGGCCCTGAGGAGCACACACACACACAAAGTGGTGTTGCATTTCTAGGCACAAAGTTTTATTGTTCGTCAAATTTGCACAGCATGTTTCAGTAATATGTTACCCAACTGACCTGTTTAAATGTTTGCTATGGCTCCAAAAAAGGGGGTAAGAGTTTAAAGGTAGAAGTCAACTTTGGATTGACCAAAAAATCCACGTGCCCCACAGTAAACTGGTATTAATCAAGTTCATCATTTCCAACATTCAGATTTCTGTGTGCCTTAAAAATCTGGGTTTGACTGATGGTCTTTACCACTTTTCCTACTCCACGTTATTGCTGCCCACATGACAAAACGTTTTGAGATTGAAATAATTATATAGACTCTGGCTTATGATACTAAGTGTTTGTGCTGAGAGGCTTCAACAAAGTTTTATTCCACTATGATACCACAGTTTGATTATTAAACAGTCTTTGCAACAGCACATGAAAATCTTGGCCTTTTAATTATCTTTTTGTATTTTATTTTATATTTTTCTTTTCTCTTTACTAATTATATGTAAATGTTGTGAATTAAGTTGTCATTATTTTTTCTTCTTGTTTTTGATCTGTTTGTGCAGCAGTTTGGTCGGTCATAATGAATTTTAACATTACGTTCGGTAAATATTAAATTAGCTGACTCGCCTGTTTTGAACGGGTTGTTTTTGAAAGTCACCTGAATTGTGGATCTAACATGTTTACAATGTTAACTTGATTGATTGTCTTGACTTAGCTCAAATATTGGTAACAATTTGTAGAATCTAAATCAAATCTTAATATTAAGTACTTACTCAAAAAAGTAACAATCTTAATAAATAAATGACTGAAATGTATAAGACAGAAGAAAATTACTATCATACTTCATATTCTTTCATCATCATTTTATTGACATCTCTTTAGATGGCCTCTTCATCGTGTACGCATGGCATGACATTTCTGAGGATGTTAGTTTTCTTTTATTCCAGCTATGCTGCTTCTTATTGTGTTGAGAAGGTTCTGGAGATCTGCATCACTGTTCATCATCCTTTCTAATGTTTTGGAAACTTCAGAGCCCTTGTCATTCATGGAATTGGTTAGATGTGTGGTCGCTGCTTCTATGGAGGGAGAGTCATCTGGGCAAAAACCTGTGAGGAAGACAATTTAGAATGTATGTATTCCATGGAAGAGAGAATTTCATGGTTTATTAACCATGGATAAAAGGAGACAAAAAATGGATTGACTTGTGTGTGTCCATGCTATGCTGTCTCATATTTAAGTCGTTTTAAAATAGTAAGTTTGTGTGAAATAATGAGATCTAATACAAATGTAACTGTAGCTGCTGTTTGTTTCCCTGTTTGTTTTAGTTAATTTGACAACATGTATTTGACTACTGGCTGTACTTTGTTATGTGTGTGCATAGTTACACCACTTGTGAAATATTGCTGCAGCGGCTTTACAAATAAAGGCTCCGGTTCGTATATTAAAAAGTACAGGTGTGATGATCACAGATACAATATAAACAAAAAAACGAAGCATATGCACAACCGCAGAGTGCACACTGTTGAATAAAGACAAATGGCTTCAAAGCCTTAAAGCCAGATAACATGTGTGACAGTTCATACCTGTCTCTTGGTCCAGGATGGTGGGTGATGGTAAGTTCAAACACTCTGCCTGCCTCATAAACTCTTTCAGCTCATCAGCAGTCACAGTATTCCTCCTGCCTGAGAGACAGAACTGTATGTAAAGGAGCGCACAGTACTACTCGCAGGGTCAGTCAGTAACTTCAGAGAAACTCAAAAGGATAGACTAAATGTCATTTACAATAACATCAATTTGTTATGATTAAAACACAGATATACATTTTGATAACTCTTTTTGGTAAGGTCACATTAATTGTAATGAATTCTTGCTTAACTTAAAGGGGACCTATCATGCAAAATGCACTTGTGTACGTCTTTTATACATGAATATGTGTCCCCGGTGTTCCAGGGAACTCACCAAGTGTCAGAAAACACAACCCTCTCTATTTTCCTCCATACCCAAATCTCTAAAAAAAGGGGCTGCAACGGATCTGATAAAAACTGATCCAGATTTGAACACTGTCCTGACGTCAGGACAGTGGCGCTACGGCTATTGGGCCAACTCCACCAATCAGGAGGAGACAGCCACGGCCATTGCCGTTCGAAATCACTGGAGACGCTGTAGTACATATGCCAGGCCACTAGATGGTGCTGTTGCTCACAGAATCAACCCTTGCAAAAACAGAGCTAACATTTTTCAAATTGAGCGAAATGAGGCATGGCTAAAATGCATGATCTGTTTGGTATTTTGAAAAAAAAAAAGTATAAATATGCCTTATATAGGTATGGTCCTACACTATATTATTCAAATATAGCATGATAGGTCCACTTTAATTCACACGTGAAAAATAAATTAATTAATTCATGTAGTATTTCAAGAAATATAATGAACGTTCAAGAATTACAAGTATTGGTATCTCATGCATTAGTCAATGCAGGCGGACCAGTCACAGCAGTGCACATATACAGTATGTATTCTGTTGAACTCCAAGTGTAATCTGGATTAACTAAGCATTGCTTTTTAATAACTGTATCATGCTTCTGGCCCTTTAAGTGGTTACATGGTCAGTACTTAAATTCCATAGTTAATGGTGGTGAGTTAAACAATTGTCCCTACCTAAAAATATCTGTATAATGATTTTGAAAGTAAAACATTTATTTTTCAGTGTGTCTTGAATCATACTCAGAAGCTGGAGTGTTCTGTATGTTTGTCCTCCAATAGTGAAATTCGAGGAGGCAATGAGACAGTCAGGGCAGCCAGTCCTCAGACTGACAACAGATCCAGGGAAAGGTTGTGCTAGGGATACATAAGAAAACACATCAATAAATACACAAAGTGATGTGGCAATGTTGGACACAAAGTCCAAATGTGTTTGTGCAGGTTCAGTCAAAACGTTTAATACTACTCACCCAAAGGGAGAGTGCTGTTCACCAAGGTCATCTGAGTTGTGAAAGTGTAGCAGCGGCCAAGTCTTTCAATAAACAGACATTTGAAATTACACACTGAATGTTTAGTTTCTTTATTTGGCTCCAAAATGATCTTAAATAAAATTAGGCTTTAAGTTACATTTTTTGAGACTGCATCACATTGATGGTATCACTCTCGTTAGCAGCAGTGATGTCCAGCCTCACGCTCGCCATTAACAAATTGGTCAGCAATTTGGCTGAAGGGACGTCTGTGCCTTCTGCAATGGCCGTCCATTTTCCCAGCAACTAAAACAGACAGTTTGTCCCATAAGATGAGAAATAGTTACATTAAAGCACTGATTTAAAAAAAAAGCTGTAACATAAAGAAAGTGACAGTGTGTCTAGAAATGGTCTTACCTGCCATCCATTGACTTCAATCGGATGGATGAGAGTCTCACAGCTGCTCACGGGAGCTGACTGTCCAGCAGACAGAAGACTGAGCACAGCCACAGCAACATGGACACATTTCATCATGTCTAACCAAATCTATCAAACAAAGATCCTGGTCGTAGCTTGAGGCTGTTTGTGTCTGCTTCAAGCTTAAACCTTTATAAATACAGTCTATGGTTTAGACGCCCATTATAGGTGGAGTCAGGAGTTGTTTACACATGTGTTGCAATCTGGTGGAGAGGTGGATGAGGTGAAATATGTCCGTTGGGCATCCAAACATTTGATAAGTTAGGGTTAATTGAATATGCCCTGTGCTTACTCTAACAAACACAAATAATTACTGAAACTAGAAATAACAGCAATGTATTTCCTTTGTGTTCCTCAAAGGGTCATATAAACTGGTGTGTGTGTGTTGTTGGCAGTGTTTAATGTTTTTTTTTGCTGGTAATGCAGCCACTCACCGTGTTTAAAGAGCTAAATAGTCACAGTATGGAACTCTTTCATCTAATTTCAGTTGAGTTGTTGTTATCCATCAGCAGTTAGCTTCAGTTTGACATTAGGAGCTGGAGTGACCCCTACTGGCACAGTCCCATAGCAGATCTGTGACTGAGTAAAAAATGCCATTTTCTATCTAGAGACGAATGTTTGTTTTTTATTTTGAGGAGTCTACATGTCTACAACGTGAATTACTGAGTTTTACTTTCTATTGGGACTTAATGTTAATATTTCACTTGGAAAAAAAGTTGACCTATAATCTAAACTTGAAGTTGCAGTTTCATTTTTACCGTACACAATCATTTAATCAATATCTCTGGCCTAACTCTGATTAACTGATTTTGAAATAATGCAATTGCATTTGATTTGTTTTTCATGCAGAACTTACTGTACTTTAAAGAAAATGAATAAAATATTCATGACTACTTTCAAGTAGAATATTAACTACAGTGTGATAGTTTTCTTATTTGTCTTCTTATTGTGTCGTATTGTTAGTGTTGCTGTCAAACAAATAAGAAAGCAGGGCAGTTCCTCCATCTTACTTTATTAAATTCTTCTGAAATACTTGTGTATATCAGGAAAGAAAATACTTTCTCATACAAAGCTAATTAAAAATCAGTTCACAAACGCATCAAAAAAAGCATCCAGGAGTTTTGCAACCCGATGTCCCATCTTTGCCTCTAATAAGGAGTTGAGGGCGCTGATCCCCTCTGAGGGCGCAATGTTGTCTGGGCAGATTTCTGTGTAGATAAACATCAAGTCACAAAACAAACAACTATGGCATTATGCAGGCACTGTGTGGAGATAAAAAGTTACAATTCTCACCGTAATCTGTGTCTATCATTATGGGCGACGGCATCCGTAGACATTCTGCTTGTGCCTTAAACATCTCCACAAAATCAGATGAGACACTCTGTCTCTTGCCTGCAAATAAAGAACATTTCATTAGAAAACTATTCGGCTGCTTTACCGTGTCCAATAAGAGTCACTCTAGTGTTTCAGGACATGATAAGTGAGATTCTTACTAAAAAGCATGAGACTGGTGAAAGTGTCTCTGCCAGAGATAACTTCTTCATATACAACCAGACAGTCGGAGCAGTCAGTCGGCAGGTAGACCTCCCTCAGGTAGAAAGGTTGTTCTGGAGAGAAAGAAACCACCCACCCACAAACGGACGCATAAATGAAAAGGTAATGTGCATGTTTGAATGAAGGTTTTTACTTTAAATAATATCTCTGAAACTTTATGGCTCTTCTTCACTCACCAATTACCATCGTGCTGTTTTCAAAGGTCACATTGAATACAAAGCTGGAACATTTGCCATATCTGCATAAAAGGAAAATAAAGGCTGAATCATAACAACATATCATGACGGAGACTTTAGTAAGTTACTCTACTACCCTAATGAAGGCTATCCATATTATGTTATGTTATTATGTTGCATTGTTGGAGAAGCCTGTGACATAAGATTTTCAACTGCATAATTACTCTGTAGCTATGTCAGATTGACAATAAAGAACCTTGAACCTTGAACCTTGAACCTTGAACCATGACATGTATAACAACTTATTAAGCTGATATGTACATGTTGTGTAACAGCTGCCCTCAAGTGGCCAAAAACTTTGAAAAAGCCAAAAACATCAACCCAAGAGTTACCGTAAATCAAACTTTACTGTGATGTGATATAGACCATGAACACCTTTGTTACTCTCCAAACATACAATATAATTAAAATGCTAAACAAAGACATGTTACAAAAAAAACTGAAGGTCTGCAAACTGACAATGAAGCACGTTTGAGTGTGTATTACTTGAACATTGTCAATACTACCATGTGGCAAAAGCAATACGTCAATAACAAGAATGTATCTTTATAAACCCCTGAGGGAAGCCTATTGGTTGGAGAGGACTAACTTCTCAGGAGACACTTCAGCCGTGTGAGAGTGTGTGTGGGGATTTACATTCTCTGAGTCTGAATGATGTTGAGGATGTTGCTCTGAGAGGTTGCAGTGATGTCCAGCCAGACACTGGACAACAGACGACCCAGAGAGCGACTTCCAGGGAGGTCCGAACTCCCCCCGACGTACAGCCACTTTCCCATAATCTAAAGAAAACCAAAGATGCACAAGACATGTCGTGATTAGTCAGCATTTAGAGACGGGACTTTTTAAGGGCTCAAGGGAGAGATATCTTTGTTTGATATATTGTGTGAAATATAACTTTAGATAAACATTTGGAGATCCCACAATGCTCTTGAAACTATTGAACAAAATGATGCAATATTTATGTTGGAAAAGCTTTGTATCACAAGTCCACATTCAAGGTCGGGTTGGCAACATTTCCTAAAAATGTACAAATCATTTTCTGAAAAGAACATTCATAGAGTATTAACATGGAAATTAGAAACAGTGTTTACATAATTACAAAGTGACTTTTAGTCATTGAGCAGCAGGTTAGCTGATAATGCAAAAATGTAAGATTTTAGAACAGACCAGCATAAAATACAGATCCCAGTTTTCTTCAAGGGACACTTCTGTTTTCTTTTACTTTGCATGATTCTTTTAAAAAAAAAATGTTAGTCAATTTATTGAACATGTCAGAAACAAAACAAACAACAATAATAATTATATATATATCATTTTATTTCTTGTTTTTTCTCACTCATAATAATAATTATAACAAAGTACAAACAAATAATATTACAAAAAAATAAATAAATAAGTAATAATAATTCTCAAATAGTCTCTGTCATGTTCAACAGGGGCAAGAAGAAGCTTAGGTCCTACCCCCTCTAGCATACATTTTCCTTATAAATAAAATATCAGGTCATCGTCATCAGCGACATGTTTGTCTTGTTAATTTTCTTCTTTTTTTTACAAAACAATCAGAAAGAAATTACTTTTACAATTACATTATTCTTTCCAGGACACTTTCTATGAATGTATTGGGAGACTGAGGAACTGCAAAAATAAGTGTTTGCTTAAGTTCTAGGTGGACTTCACTCATTGCTTTGGCCCAGAAATGTGTGGGACCTAGAAAGTTCATTGACCAATGCAGGGAAACCGTGGCATATGAACACCACATCAATTCTTTTTGCTAAATGTGTTGGGAAAGGACAGAGGAGTTGTAACACTGCAGGTTACTACCGTTCATCAGAATACATTTGAAAGGCAAGTCTTATTTTGGGGCTTTTAACTATTTCTTGTGGTTGAACAGTTTTAAAGTGAACAATCTTTGACACCAAATTAGTGTATCTTTTTTTGTGATGTAGTTACAGAATTTAAATTGATTTTCTTTCTCCCAAAATGGCTTAAAAAGATAAGATAAGAGATAAGATAGAACATTATTGATCCCAATTTGGGACATTTTTGAAAAAGAAACACAGGTAAGTTATGCTTCCAGTTTTCCATCACTAAAAACATATTACCGGTCTCTTCAAACATGAAGTCAGAGGTTGTTAAGCTATGAGAATGTGGATCATGTGTATCGTTGTCTAATATTATCTGATGAAACCTATAAGCAAAGCAGAAGTGCACTTACATTTTCATTGCTGATAGTTATGGGTTTCAGCAGACTCTCACAGCTGCTCAGAGGAGCAGAGTCTCCCAGAGAGAGAAGACTCAGCAGGACAGCGACAGAAACACACTTCATCCTCAACATGGCTCGTTTGTTCTTGATCTAAAGTTTTCCTTCTGCGCCTCGTCTTACCCTCTCAGCTCTGCTCTCTTTATAGTCTCCCCCCTGGATGTATCTCCACTTTTTGTGAACAGCCCAGGGGACAGTGGGAGAGGAGACTTTTGACCTGTTATGGAATGTAAACCCCATCACATAACAGCAGAGGCTCAAAGAGTAAATCCAAACTTTTTTTAAGCTGTTCCTCGCACCTCCAGCGTTCATGTTATTCATTTAAAAAAAGCCGGTTCATGTTAGTTAAAGAGCAAAAAGTAGCAATACCAGCAGTATTTCCTCACATTTTATATTTAATGTAACAACATGTATTCTGTGTTGAGATTAAGAGCCATTTTTGGTTACTTTTGATTGACTTTTGTTCTCTCTCTGCTCAGGGGTTCCTGATCTCCACTAACCGTTAATATAAAGGAGGGCTGGAAGAGAAGCAGCTGTCTCTCTGACACACTTGATTGAAAAGACATAAAAAACAAATCATTGTAATACTATGAGCTGTAGCCAAGAGAAACAGAGGGGTCGTGAGTCCAGATCCCCCCAGTAAATCCTTTAGCTTCAATATTTTTAAATCAAACATTAATTTGTAGTTTACTTGAACTTTGTCCTCACCGCCTGTGCTCTGATCCCAACAGAGAACTGTGAGCGTGTTGAAATCGCACAAAATACACACTAAACTCCTTTAATGTGAACATTTACAGAAGAATCGGTACCACTTTACAATAAGACTACCCTTATAAAGGGTTTACGAATAGTTTGTAATTCATTTATTAATTAGGTTGTGAACACTTTATAAATCATTAATAAGCTTTTATAAGACATGAGATAAACAGGGCAACTGTGACCGGTTGCTTGCCAAATAGTGAGCCCACATTTATCTACTGCTAAGCCTTATATTGGCTACTTAGCTTACTTCGTCTTGTTCATCAGCCAGCATCCTTGGTATCTGTTGCTCACCGAGTTGATTCTCGCTAAGTAGCCAATATAAGGCTTAGTCATCTTGCCAAATAGTGAGCCTGCATGTGTTGATGTATGAAAACTATGTTAGAATTGGTTTATAAATGGCTCTTAATGATTAATAAAGTGTTTACAACCTAATTCATAACCTTAAACCCTTTATGAATCCTTTATAAGGGTAGTCTTATTGTAAAGTGGTACCGAAGAATCTTTAACGTGTGATAAACTACACGGAAAACATACTTTCCTTTCCTTAATTAAATCACTTTTACAGCAGCTGGTTTCTGATTTGACACATTTGAAGCTAAATTCAAAAAATATATATGTTTATGTTTATAATAGTTATAGTATGTTAAAGATCCTTTGCAGACATTTTTTATTACATATGAAAATAGCCTGCTTTGAGTATTTTGTAAATGACATCTACTCTTTTCTCATCTTCCATAATTGCAACCCAATTTATTTGTCAATATTCACACTTGCTGGAAAAAAGTGTCTTTTACAGCTCGTCTTCCTTGTTACAGTTGTATATAAATCACTACTGGAACAATTTGAATTGGGTTTATTGAACTTAAAAAAAGCCACAAAACAGCATCTTATCAAAAGTTTTTTTTAATTGAACTTAACAAAGTGACAGCTCTCTATAGATGTCTTCATACGGGACAAAAACAAACAAACAAACAGAGAAAAGAAAGAAGAGCTAAATCTGATGGTCGTCCTGACGATACACGGAGGTCTCTGAGCATGACCTATCTGTCATAGCAGTGCTCTGAGGGGGATGGAGACACATTGATGCCGTGTTGGGTGGGCTGGTGATGGAAAGACGGATGTAAAAACGACGACCATGCTTCCTTCACCACCTCTCCGCTCCATCCACTCTCTGCCTGAAGTGATGGTGAGGTGACCGACAGCAGGATGCAGGGGAATTGAGATTGATGGAGAGGGAAGTGACAGGACGCATCAATCACCACTCCCTGGTTTTGTTGGTCTGTGCTCATCCTCTCCTTTTTCCTCTTGGTAGGGAGACGCAACCGGAGAGACAGGACAGGAGACAGACAGACGGAGGGAGAGAGGGAGACAGGAGGAGGAGGGGATCACTACTCCATGCCCGGCTGGTTCTCTTGGTCTGCGCTGATCTCCTCGCCGGCGTCCTTGCCCTCCTTGCTCCTCTTGCTCTTCTTGTGTTTGTGCCTCCGGTGGCTGTCGCCCTCCTCGCTGTCGTGCCTCCTCCTGCTACTGCTGCTAATCCAAGGAGAAGGACCGAAGGGTGGAAAAGGGCAGAGGAGGTGAGGGAGGGTAGAGGAAACGGATCGGAGGGAGAGTAAAGGGCAGGGAGGGAAGACAATAGGGAGAGAGAGAGAGAAAAGGTTAGGCATGAGCGAGGGATACATTGAGACAAGAAGATCAATGAGGGAACGCAAGAAAAGGCGAAGTGAAATGGAGACGGACAAAAAGGGGCACAGGTGGTGTTAGGTAAATAACAAAAGGTCTAACCCAGGGCTGCACTGTTATCACCAACAGGATCAAGATTGAAATGTTTTCTCTTTCAGATTGATTTGAACCGAACACGGCTTTCATTTCCATGTTTCCTACTAGTGTACAAATATTTTCATACTTCAAGAATGTAGTTATTTTTCCTGTCAGACGGCTCCCCAGAAGGGAAATACAAATGTCTCAATGACAGCAGAGGTTTCCATGACCAGAGTGCACATTTTAAACGTCAATAACGCAGCTGATAATGTACATTTGATTGTGGGGAGCCAGGATTGAGATAGGAATATATAACTTGAGAGTACTACAATTGACCATTTGCTAAACTGGAATTCCTTTGTGAATTTATTTTGCAAGAATGGGTCTTTTATTTATTTTGGAGGTTGACAAAAGCAGTCAAAATTAAAAGTGTGACCGAATACAAATGAGAAGCCTGCCGTTGTAGGCTAGGCGTACAAGTCGCCGGCAGATGAAAGATCTAGGATAATATAAGGAGCTAATAGATATGACACTTAGTGGCTACACACATGGTCCAAAGAAATAAGAAACATCATGGTTGTTACAGTTGCAAAGCTATGATTTGACAACCACTATTTTATTTTCTAAGAGAGGCGGTATGTGTGTATTTACGTACCTGCGAGAGGACTTGTGGCGCCCCTCCTCTTTCTCTCGGTGCCGCCTCTCTCTGTGGCGCCCCTCCTCTTTCTCTCGGCTCGAGCGCTCACGATGTCGCTCTCCTGCATAACCGCGCTCCTGGTACTCACGGTAACGATACCGCTCCTCTTCGCTATGGAAATAGAAAGAACAAGAGCTTTCACTTTACGGTGTTGCGTTTGCATACATACAAAACATTCCCATTCTCTGGTTAAAATATGCCTTTTGATGTTGCAGTAAATGAACAAATATTGTGTTGCTCTGATCAGATAGCATAAATGAATCAAAGCTTTAAATAAAAAAGATAAAGTCTGATGATCACTATTTTGATACCTAAACTCCGGATATCTGCCATTACCGAATACCACTCTGATATCAGTGATCTCTTTTTCCTTATTTTCAAATCTATACATCTCACAGTGTGATGAAACTAACACTTCCTCCATGCCATATACAAGTACTGAAAATGGTTTATTTGAACATGGAACAGGAAAATAAGGTCTGCATATGAAACATGTTGTGCCTATCTAAAACAAATCCAATAGGCTTACTAGCTTCTACACGCTAAAGCAACTCAAATCTCTCACCAGCAAAACACCTCGACAGTTAAATGCCATTTTACGTTTCATTACTATACAATATAGTATTTATTATCATTATAGTATTACTATTTCGGCGATTAGATAAAATATAAATTATATTTGATGCAACTTTAGTTACATTTCCATTACTTTTCCAAAACTTTGGGAAGAATATTGTTTTCCATAACTTTTCCAGGGACTGGAATTAGCATTTAGAATTTCCATGACTTTTCCAGGTTTTTAATGACCGTAAGAACCCTGACATTTAAGAAAAGAGCATGTCCAAGGTTCAAATAAGCAGATATTAAGGCGACATGATAAACTCCATTTCTTTCATTTCTGATTCAGATTGGTAGACCCGTAGAAATAAATCTGTGTTTGTTTGTTTCCCCCTGTCCCTCTCACCTGGTGTAGCCCATAGCTGACGGGCTGTGCTCCCTCTCTCTCTCCCGCTCATGTGTCCTCTCTCGGGGCCGCTCTCTCTCCTTCTCTCTCTTGTCTTCTCGACGGGGATAGTAGTCCCAGGGCTTGGAGTTGTCCATCATGGGGGGCCAAGGAGGAGGCACATTTCCAGCCATGGGTGGAGGGTACGCACCTGAAAAGGTAAAGAGGAGGGGAGCCGAAGACCAGGTTATTACTTCAAACGTTCCCTGGAAATGAGACTGAAATCTAGTTAGCAATCACAGACGGATGACATGGTAAAGCTTCCTACCTTGAGGGAACGGGTAGGGAGGGACAGAGCGTCCGTCATAACCTCCAGAGTGACTGTGGAGACAGAGGAGAGCCATCATGTTACAGAGTGTGTGTGTGTGTGTGCGCATACTCATGTCCTTTGATCATAGCCCTATTTTTGTTGTGACACAGGATGAAGTCAAATGAAACAGTGCAAAAGCATGTCGTTGGTATTTTGGTGGAGAATGTGTCTTACGGCCCGTCCACACAGCAGCGTTAAAAAAAATCTTGGAGGTAGGCGTATCTGAAGCTTGGGGATTTTTTGCGAGCAAGGCACCAACAACCAATCACATGAATCTCCCGCCCCCGACATACGAAGCAAAAAAGCCCGAAGTAAACTGGATATAAACTCCCCAAACAGGCGAAAACCTACCACTGTCTCTGCCACCTCCCTCCATGCCTGGCTCCTCCGGTTTGTATCCCGGTAGGTAAATAGGGACTGGTCATAAAGCACCGGGTGATTCCCTACCGCTAATTTCTCCTCCATTTTTTGGAATATGAGGAAATGACCTGCGGTATGTCTCTCTCAGCATACACGCGGTTTGATTGGCTAGCGCTTGAACTGTCAGATTTGCATACACGGGATTTGATTGGCTGACGCTTCCACCTCAGCTTCAAAAGTTGAACATTGCTCAACTTTGAATCCTGAAAATCCTGAAAATCCTGAAAATCTCCGCTCGCCTGCCCACAATGCAGTTCGGCGAAAAGTGAGGCAATGTGACGTCACCCCATTCAAAGTGAATGGGCAGAAGCGTTCCAAGATTTTTTAACGCTGCTGTGTGGACGGTCCGTTAGAGGCTGCACAGACAACATACGTCTCAGAACAGCGCCTGTTTCCTGCACATTAGTGAGCTGCCACTGTGGAGATTTCTGTATACTGTCAACCTATAAACTAAATATTTATAGGATGACAGGATAATACCTAAAACATAATTAAAAATGTATAATAAAACAATGTCCAACCAGTGTGTAGGTTAAACCTGCATTTAAAATAATGTTTATTGTGGTTGGGTCATTCTGCATTCATGAAAACATTCAAACGAGTGATTCCTAAATAACCTGTTTGCTCCGCAGCTCCTTTTTACTGTATCATTTAATAAATCATTACATTCTTGCAGCAGGACAAACATGTTCTTAATCTGCAGCGTCTGTTTGGAGAAGAGCCGAGTTATTTCCAATGTGTGTGTGTTGATGTGTACTTGTGTGTTACCTGTCCAGAGTGGGGATGATTGTAGGAGGGGGCCCACTGGGGGGAGGAGGAAAACCAGGAGGAGGGACATTAATGGGTAACCCTGGGAGGGAGACAGAGAAGAAGGAGAGAATAAACAGTCAAATAAATAATATAAAGCAAATATATTGTAAGGTGTGATGTGTGCTTGAAATAAATAAAAACACCAAGAGACTAGCTGATAAAAACTTACTGGGTGGGGGGATGAGTGGGGGTGCAGAGTTGACGTTTGGTGGTGGAGGGAGGAATGGAGGAGGAGGTATGTTGGGTGGAAGGCCCCCGGGGGGGAAGAACGGGGGGATCTTAGCCGGCTGAGTGGGCTCAGAGTCTGTACTTTCAGAGATCACCTGCAAACAGCAGACAGGATGTCAACACTCACTCTCAGCGCAGATCCTTTCAACTGTAGTTTATTCATCACAAAAAAATACAATTATAAAGAACATTTGTTTTTTGAATGAGTGTCTGTGGTGCCCCTGTGTACCTGGATATTGTTGCCTTCCAGGTTGTGTCTGCGTCGGCCTTCAACCCTGCTGATGGTGGCCGTTCCTCCACCAATCACATCTATCGTACCACTCGTCTTCCTGCGAAAAGAATATGTGAAAATAGAAATCAATGCACTGAGCCCACACCCTGTCGACTTCCACACAAAAAGTATATAAACATAATCAGGTATGAACATTAGGTAAAGATCAAATTGAAACTCATTCAAGTCATCTTAAGCCTTTCTACAGATGACAACTATTGACCGACACTGAAAACAAATCATTTGTTTTCTAAAAGAGCTTTGGCTGATATACATAATGAGTAAGGGCATATTATAGTTTAATAATGAATTTCCAGGGCTTTCTGGTTTACAAAATCTGTAATAGTGACACTGTTTCTAAATACCCGTAAATCTTCTCGAGCGTTTCCTTAAGGCAGTTTCTGTGTCACTTACCAATAATATATCAACCGCTACCACTATATGTGCAACGACCCAACAGCCACGATATATTGTTGGCTGATTAACTAGTCCAGCTTTAAAGAACATCAAATGTAGATGTACTTTTTATGCTCATTGTACTTCTGGCTTTTACAGCTCTTTAAAGAAATCTCCTTTAGTGCCTGAAACAATGGAGTCTCTAAAGATACATTTAAACACCCAATAAAATGGTGACCTATGGATCTTAAAACCCTTTATGTTGCACCAGTGTGCGTCTCCAATGGGAACACTTATTGCCCTCTAAAAGGAGAAACATCTCATTCAAAAACTATTAAAGGGTTTCATCTCTTACCAAATAAAGGAAGACCCTTTTGGTAAGGCAACTTTATGTCTCACCCCGACAACATCACTTACTAATGTGGAGCAAGTAAGTCTCATACTAACCGTCATCAAAACAACCTGTGGATTGATCTTAAATGATGATTTTCTTGTGTCTCTTTAAGCTTTAACTTAAGTTCACTTTCTAAGTTATGAAACATGCACAAATCCCACCACAAAAGAAAGAACGAATCCCCGGGGCCTTTGAAGTAGCACTGGGAGTTTTTCTGTGTTCGTGATTCACGGTCAAGAAAAACGCTTTAACATCAGATCCATGCCAACTTACGTATAATAGGACATGTCCTGAGGAGGAGGCGGGCCGGGCCACTGAGGGGGAGAGATCCTACCATTTTGAAACAAAGAATGTGTTAAAGGAGGTGAGAGCCAACATCGTCAGAAACACAACGTACAGGGGAGACCTGTTGAGGGGTCGCTGTGGCTCAGAAGGTAAAACAGGTCGGCTTTTATCATCCCTCATAAATGACAAAATACATCTCAAGGGATTCGTCCTAATAAATACATTTTAAACAAGGTTGGCGGTTTGACCCCCAGCTTCTCCTGTCTGCATGTCAAGACACTAAACCCCAAGTTGTGCCCTCTGCCAATGGTGAATAATGAGGGGGAACGTTGTAGAGCACTTTTTCTGGTATTGTACAAAATGGCTTTATAAAAAGGCAGTCTTTGTAGCATGGCATATCTTGAGGCGACCAGGTGTGTTTTATGTGTCATGTTGAATTAAAAAAGCTTAACAAAAAAAAATGGTCCCCTCTTCTTAATCCCTTCCAGTGAGGCACTTGATAGAGCAATTTTCTAAACCTCAACCCAGCATACGTCAAGTCTTCATTACTTTTTTCTATTTCAAACATTTTCAACTTGTTATTAAATGAAACAGGCGGAGGGGAAAACACTACATTTCTTATTTTCACTTCTACTTTCTAAATGTCTGTCCACATCACTGCAGGTGCACTATATTTCCAGATACCTCAATAAGTGAAGATGAAGCAGAAGTGTTACCTGTTGACCTGACTGACAACGGGCTTGTACATGTTGAGAGGAGATGTGAAGTCTGGTTTGGAGGTGTGAACAGGCAAAACGCATATGTCCTTGTCATTGCCTGTCCTGCCTTGCTGAACCTAAGAAAGAGGCAAAATAAAGCTTGTTAATATAATGCATTCTTCTGAGCTTTAAACACATATTTTCATAACAAGAGTTCCAGGTTAAACCAGGCATAAAACTGCTCTGATTCCAACTAACTGATAAGATAGAGGGTACTATGACTACAACAGCTGCTGAAATGTAGAGTGTTGATGGATGAAAAGGCCAGAGTAAGCGCTAGTCTCTCACGGTGATCTTGCTCGCCACAGAGCTGACGGTAGAGACTTCCAGGCCCATGCGCAGCCTCTTCTGTTTTTCACAGTAAGCCTTCCATGTGTCTTCATTGAAGCCGTAGTTAAAGTAGTCTGACAGATCCGCTCCTACACACACAAACACAGAGATAGGCTGTAAATATTTGGCATGACATAATAACAAATGCCAGTAATAATACATTTTAACGGTGCCTTCAATGTCACGCAAGGACACCTTACATCAGACAAAACCATCAGGAAAAAACATTACATACGCAACAGTAATAAACCATACATTGAATCAACAATAAAACATTAAATATGCATTAGATCAAGATTCATTATGTAAGAAATACAATGCAGTTAAAGTTATTTAAAGTTTTAAGAGTTGTGTTGAATCCTTTACTATGCATATCTTTGTAAACAAATATCCTGAAAATAGCTGTGCCAAAGGAACAGTTGCTCATGTTTCCTGGGTTGATGTTTGCTACAAACACTGACCTGGCTTCCTCCAGGGTTTCTCTTCAAAGGTCTCCATGTCTGCCTCCAGCACTGGAGCCCCGTTTATGTTTCCAGGTCCGTCCAGATCCACTCCTTTCATCTTGGAGGCTACAGAAAAGAAACAACATAACTTGTTAACTGTACAAACTTTTTCATACTCTATTTATATATAACTATGATGTCTGTTTCTCTGTGTTTTCAGAAAACAGGATTTACTTCAACAACCCCTTCACATTACCTTGTCCATAAGGTCTGGAGCCTGACGTCTTTATGTTGAGATTGACAGGGGGAGCTCCATAAGTTCTGTAGGTAAAGAAATAAAACCATGTTATAATATCACAAGGTCTGCTCTTAATTAGCGGTAATTACCACCATATTCAGTATCATTTACAAGTAAAGAATAACAGTGAACTGTGGTGAATGAACTTCTTGGTCTCTGTTCAAGGTCAATGCCAGGATAAGTTACTTCAAGTTGAATTATTTTAAGTAGTAACAAGCACAAAATACATAAAAATGAAAGACCATATTCAAATCTAAATCACTGCCCTTAATTTTGGCAAATATTTGCAAAACACCACACTTTCAATAAAACCTACGTGTACTGTGGTGCTCCAGTTTTAATGTCTCCAATAATGACACGGACATCATCGTCGTCATCATCACTGTCACTGCCACTATCAACATCCTCTGTTACGCCTTCACCTTCACCCTCGCCCTCCCCTGTCGCCTGGAAGAGAAGGAAAATACAAAAATGAGGCATGCGCTTTTCACAGAAGAACAGAAAACAAGTGCTGTAGCACGCACTGTGAAAGAGTGCATGCACGTTCCTACCTCAGAGGCCACTCCATTCCCTGTAGCGTGTTCAGCAGCATCCTCTGTGGAGGCATCAGCAGGTGCACTGTGGATGAAATAAAGAATTAGAAAATAAAAAGTATTTGAATTACACAAAGCACATCAAAAAATATTCTAATGTCTTCAAAGAATGCAAAAGTTTGGTGCTAAATAAAACCTTATTTTAACAGATGGTAGATGGCGTCTATTTCAAAAACTGTGGGAGTTAGATTGAAGTTAGGCAACAACTTATTTTCAAACTGGGTTTTTATACTCTCATATTTAGCACTTAAATTAAAGTATAACACTACGGTTTTCACAAATTACACACCTTTATAATTTGTTTTAATTTCTTCAGTTGTTGGAGTTGCTTGGATATGCAATACAAATAATGTAAAAATGTTTATCAAACTGAACAATTATTTAATTTAGGGACTATAACTGCAGTGTGTATGAGAGGTATAATGGGAAGTGGATTAATGAGTATTTATGGTTTATTTAACATGTGCTGCTGGGGAAAGCAACTCCTCCTCTAGATGTAAACAGGTGTCACTGTCTCGAGAGTTTTTAAATCACTTATACAAATCTAAATGTGTTTTTATGCATCATGACTTGTGTTAAATACCTGACAGCAGCATTCAGTTTGGCTTCCTCGTCCTCGTCTTTGTCCTCACACTCATCTAACAGATGAAAAACACAAAGTTATAACAACCATAGCAGCAGAAGCCATTCATTAGCTTCCTATGTTTGCCTACTCCCAAAACAAAACTACAACGGGATTATTTTCCATATTTACGGTTGAATAATAGCATTATATGTCAAAGAGACACATTTAACCACTTTTCTCCATAGCACTTTGCTCCAGTCAAACGGCTGCAAAAGGCCGGGAATTGCAAACAGGCGCTGCTAGCTTAGCTTCCATGCTAACTCTCTAATCTTCTTATTGCAGTGCTGTTGATTAGCAGTGAATTTAAACAGAACTACACACAATGATTCATATCTCTTTTGGTCAAAATGAGTTATGTTTGTGGGAAGCATGAGTGTTTTTTTTACCTCCATATAGCCATTCTTCCTCCTCATCTCCACCGCTGGCATCAGTGGTGCCTGTTTTGTCCGCTTCCTCCGCAGACATGTTCGGAAAACACGGAGCTACCCCAGCAGCAGCAGCGGCCGAAACACAATATTAACCCAGGCTTCTAAATGCAGAAATACAGCCTCAGTGTTATCCCTTCAGCGGGGGAAACGCGCTATTGTACAAAAAATGATGCCTTCAACAGATTCATCTCCAATGTCTGCGAGTAAGTATGAACCCG